GAAATTCTGACCTTATCTTCAAAACCGTATTTACACAAATAACATGTTGCTTGTATGTGACTGACGAGAAAGCACGAAATGGTACTATCTCACAAAATATGTCTTCTTATTTCTCTATTCAAATTTATCAAAGGGAACCACTGTTTTGTATTTCATTAGTTTCTGCTTCTTGACTAATATCTTCTAATCCTAACCTCTCCGACTACTGCTAATACCTTCATCACTACCTCTACTACTATTGGATTTGAATTGACAATTACATCTCTGTGCTAACGTGGTAGGCAACATGAACTAATGTACGTACGTACGAAGTTCTACGTTGCTATTTATTTATTGGAAGCGTTTCTTCATGTACGAATCCCTGTGACCTCAAGTTTAATGTGGAAGTAGACATGAGAAGAATGAACAACAATTGCACAGAACTAGAAACGCAAGCCTAGGACAAAGTAGGTTGGAGAATGCTGGTTGGCGGCCTACGCTCCACTGGGGGGTTTGATTACAGATTAATTAGACTGTAATTTCAATCGGTTAAACAACTATTCTCATAGCCAATATCCTTAAATGATCTTAAATGTTCAATCACCAGAGAAAACCTGGAAATCTATTCCATTATAGTATAGGACTTCTTAGCAGTACGCATTGACGACCCCACCATTGACGGTCGTAGCCAAGACCTTCCAGTGTAGCGTGGATGGGGAGTCCTATAGAAAGACAATGCAATTTTCCAATACTTCCTGGTTCTTATTGATTGTTTACTCTATAAAAATGAGAACATCACCACAAACTTCCAGCAATAACAAAACTTTTGTTTGAAACAGAACAAATGTGAATGAAAATGGATACAATGAAAATTAAATCTAAACCATACAGGGTTTATACATCCATTGATATTCATATTTTGAAATGACCAGTAACACCTGTTCCTTGCTTTTCTTAGTCATAATAATTAATAATGATAGTAGTTGCATTACGGTGTTGTGAAGATTGTTAAGTTACACATTTGAAATCACAAACTGATCAGTGTTAGATCACCATTAGAAGCCTGGAAGCAGTGGACGGCCGTTTCGTCCAGGTTAGATATCGACTCAGTGGTCCAGAGGTTAGGCGTTCGTGCGCAAGACCGAAGGTCCTGGGTTCGAATCATGTGAGGTGCAGGAGTCGTGGATGCGCATTGCTGATGAGTCCCGTACCAGGACGAAATGACCACTCAGTGCTTCCAGGTTTCTAATGGTGGTCTAACATTGGTCGATTCATGATTTCAAATAATAATACATGATGTTGTAGTACTTGTTACGATAGATTCGCAAATTAAACAATCATCAAATTTGATAAGTTTTTGCTACACAAAGAACTAAATATACCTTTGTCTATCAGATTCATAGCTCCCAGCCATTGTGTGTAAATTATTTATTTGTTTTAATACATAATTTTTCGGTACAAAAAACGGACATCTAAAGATTTATGCACCATATACAAATTACTAAACGTGTGTCTGGACTGGGATATTTTCCGAGGACTCATACTGGAAAAACTGGTTTCCTTTGAGGACCATTATTCTCAGAGTTTTTGCCCCAGAAAAAATCTAGTCCACAAGACAATGGAACAACGTTAGGAGATACAGTCCCATGGTAGCCATTAGTCCAGCCCAGATTCTGGAGCCCATGTACAACCACTGGATCGGAATGGACATCTTCCAACTTCCCTAGGTGGGACATTCGTACTCACAAACCCGGTTCGATCGCCGGACATTTGCTTTTCGTCCTTTCAAATATTTTCAGAGAACTTCTGTACAACGAAAAGGCAGTCAGTAGGATTTGCCATGTAGTGCCTATTTCAGAACATTCTCTCCACTTTCAGCCATATCACTGCATCTGAGCATATTGGAAGACAACACAATCTTCCAACTTCAATCGTTGACAGATGCGTTACTCTGATGATCAAAATACCTTTCAAACTCAAACTTACAGCAAAAAGATTTATAGGTTATTGTTGTATCAATCAATGTGTAGAAATCAGCAAATGTTGATGTGTATATATATGTATATATATATATCACTGAAACATATCAAATTCAATTTTATAACTCAGTAAAAAAACAAACAATTTCATTTCTAGATTTTTTTTTCTAATAAATTTCACTTAACTAAAAATTAATCAAATGATGTGGCCTACTAGTTAGTTGATTAGCAGCTTCAACCGATTATCATAGTTTAGTTAGTTATAGATCATTATCATATGACGATGATGGGTAGGTAGGTAGGTAGGTAGCTAAATTATCATCATATTGTGTGTGTGTGACAAGAGAAAATTCACAAACTCAATCAATAAACACTAGAATTCTATTCAGATGAGTTTTGTTGAAAAATAAAAAAAAACAGAACATCAAAATGAGGCATTCGAAGTATTGTAAAAAAATGCAAGTTGTTTGTTACATATATATGAATGTACGTGTATATAGTAGTTTGTGTTTCTTATTGTATAGAATTTAAGAGGCGATTATAATGGAGCAAGTTTCATTGAAACTTTCATATGCCATCATAAAATACTTTTTTTTCCAAATGCGATGGATACTACTCAGTGAATCAGCAATAACAACAACAACGTGGAAATTTGTACACGTATGTACATCTCAATTCAAGTTGCCATTACTTACTTACGCCTGTTACCCCCAATGGAGCATAGGCCGCCCACCAACAGCATTCTCCAACCAACTCTGTCATGGGCTTCCCTCTCCAGTTCTGTCCAGTGTTTGTTCATTCCTCTCATATCTTTCTATATTTCTCAGCGTAATGTATTCTTTGGCATTTCTCTTTTCCTTTGACCTTGAGGGTTCCACGTGAGGGCTTGTCTCGTGACGCAGTTAGGTGTGTGTCCTATCCACTTCCACCGCTTCTTCCTGATTTCCTCATCCACTGGAATCTGACTTGTTCTCTCCCACAGTACGTTGTTGTTGATCGTGTCAGGTCAACGAATCTGAAGTATTTTGCGTAGACAACTGTTCATAAACACTTGTATCTTCTGCATGATGGCTTTGGTAGTTCTCCATGTTTCCGCTCCATACAGTAGTAGAACTGTCTTGACATTTGTATTGAAAATCCTGATTTTGGTTTTGGTTGAAAGTTGTTTGGAGTTCCAGATATTTTTCAACTGTAGAAATGCAGCCCTTGCTTTGTCAATCCGTGCCCTCACATCTGCATCGGATCTACCTTGGTTGTCGATTATGCTGTCAAGATATGTAAAAGTGTTCACACACAGAGATCGAATTATCAGTTCAAATTCCATAGTGGTAGAGAGAGTAGAAGTATTAGCTGTAATGGTCAGTCAGTCAGTAAGTTACAACGGAGAACTTCGTACGTAAGTACATACTACTCGCAACTTGGTTTATAGGTGGATAAAGCAGTGGAGTATCGCCCTGAAGCGATGCGATCAAAATGTTCTGGAAATCAGAAGCGAAGATGTAAAAGATTAGGTGTATATATGTTTGTGTTTAGTAAACCTGTGTCTTCTTGTTGGGATATTCATCAAATATCCAAAGAGAGTTATTCTGTAAGTCTAATTCCAATTGGTCATTCTGACTATCAATGTCACATACTTCGAATGTTGTTTCCTTTTCCACCTAACCGTATAAATATGCATTATCTGTAACGATTTATAATCCAGATCCCTAGTCCGGGATCCTTCTCCTCTTCTGGATGTTTGTAGAATACAGGTCCTACTTCATATAAAGTCTTCTTCTACTTCGTGGGTCTTGGGACGCTTCGATTAGACTAGCCTGTCGTGTCGCTCGATCATCGATCCTCGCTCTCATTCACCGACTAATAGTTCGAGCGATATCAATGGATGTGTTGAGGTGTATTCATAAGACATCTCTTAAACCTACATCACTTACTCCAGCTTAGTTTTGACCTCTTTGTTGAATAGATATTACTCAACAACAGAGTAATGTTCGGTTTCTAAAGAAATATTTGAATAGTTCAGTCAGTCAGTCAGTCAGTTGCAACGTAGAACTTCGTACGTAAGTACATCAGTTCATGTCGCCATACCACATCAGCACAGAGATATAATTGTCAATTCAAATCCAATAGTAGAAGAGGTAGTAAAGGTATTAGAAGTAATCGGAGGGGTTATAATTAGAAGATATTATTCACGAAGTATGATTCAATGAGATAAGTTTAGAAAGTAAAAACTAGAGGTGTTGAAGAACTCAGAAGATTAGGATTTGAGAGAGCACAAAGAATAAATGCACCGGCGCCATTGCGAACGATTTTGAGCCATGTCATTCAAGGTCTCTAGCCATCGATTATTATCATCTCGCGGACCCCAACCAGGCAGTCGACAATTACCGACATGGCTAAGTCCACTCGTCAATGACTTCATGGATTTCTGCCATGTTTTGGTCTGGCCGCCCCTAGCTTTCTTCCAACCTATTCCTACACTACAAAATAAAGCTCGACGAGGGAGTCGCTGGTTAGGCATACGCAACACGTGTCCCAACCACCTCAACTGATGAAGTTTCGCCACTTCATCGATTGATCTGCCATTCTTACCTAGTACCCGTTTCCTAATAACAGCGTTGCTCACTCGGTTGTCCCACGGTATTCGAGCAATGCTTCGAAGACATCTATGATCGAAAACCAATAACCGACGAGTATCTTCTACTCTCATTGGCCATGTTTCACAGCCATAAAGTAAGACGGAGCGAACCACTGCGCAGTACACTCGTCCTTTAGTCAGCAAACGGATATCTCGCCTACGCCATAAGTGACGCAGGTTCACAAATAACACAATGAAGAGAATGGTCAGCATAATGACGGCAAATGTCATCTTTACTTATTTATTGTACAAAGTGCCTCCACTGAAATGACCAACAGAGTGAAGAAAAAAATAGGGAAACGACTGTACAACACTTTCATTTTATACAAAATAGAAGATGAGAAAAACAGTTTATCTCAAAGCTATTTACACACACACACCCGTACACACCCCCACACACACACACATTAAACAATTTTTGACGATTGACGCATTTTCATATAACGCAAGAAATCCCCTGCTTCTTTATAATCTGGATGTGTTTGACTAATTTCGAATGCAGGATTACGCAGGAAATCATCAAAACGATCATCAATATCACACAACGCATCAGAATTGTCGTTGTTGTTGTCTCCAAACCACTGTGTGTAATAGAAAAATAAAACATAATAGTGATAATGTTGTGTGTCGGTATTGTGGACAAAATCAATACTAAATTATATATTTAATCAAGTGAAATACTGACGGACAGATACAATGCAGGACTTCGTACGTCAGTACATCAGCTCAGGTTGCCATGCCCCATCAGCAAAGAGACGCAACTGTCAATTCAAATCCAAGAGTGATAGCCATAATAGAAGTATTAGCGGTAATGGAGAAGATTAGGGAGTGAAGATATGATTCGAGAAAAATAATTGTGAAATAAATTTAGAAGGAGAAAGGCAGAGATTATGAGGAATTCAGGTTAGATTTAAAAAGCGCCATTGCAAACGATTCTGAGCCATGTCATTCAAGGTCTCTAACCATCGGTGACTTTTGTCTCGCGGACACCAACCAGGTAGCCTACATCTACCAATATGACTTGGTCCACTTGTCAGTGACTCCATGGATTTCTGACATGTTTTGGTTTGGCAGCCATTAACTTTCTTCCAGCCTACCCCTACACTGCAAAGCATAGCTTGTCGCGGCAGTCAGTGGTTAGCCATACGTAACACGTGTCCCAACCACCTCAACTGATGAAGTTTCATTACTTCATCTATTGATTTGCCATCCCTACCTAGAACTCGTTTCCTAACGACAGCATTGCTTATACGGTTGTCCAAATACTGACAATTCTAACCAGATATCAAATTATTATCTGTGTAACACATTAATGCAAGGGGAATCGTAGAGATTGAAGAATTTCTATAGTTCAAATCACGAATGAAAACCTCAAAGCACTGAACTCCCTATGTGCTCACAAGTGACTAGCTTTTCAAGGAGATCGTTACCAGTGGAGTTCGAATGAGACAATTATCCGTCGCAAGTGATGGATAGCGGTTTCGCAATATTGTTTCTTGATTGAAAGTAGGCATTAACACCATCAGATGCCGGCGGCTCAGGGGTCTAAACTGTCAATGTTGGCACATGAGACCGAAAAGACCTTTGTTTGATTTCATGTAGCTTTGTCGTAAATGCAAACACTTGAGGAGCTTCAGACACTAGGAGAAAACGGTAGTCCAATACTTCCAGGTATTTTTAATGGTGGTCTGGTTAAGGTCAGTTCACAATTTCAATGATCAAAATCCACATAATATACTGAATATTTATCAAAATGATTTAGTGTTTCGCAATAATAAGCTACCAAAGTAATGCCAAGAATAAAATCTATACCGAGTTGAAAGTGACTACTACCATTACTTCTACAATCAATAACAATCCGTATACATAGATTGAACCACAGACAGGTAGTCATGAAACATGATAAACCAGTGGTTATAAAAAAATTGCAAACAAGACGACACAGAAGTATTTCTGAAAAATGTGCATTGCACGACATTTCATACCTACACCTTTTTTATGTGAGAGCAGTATGGCAACATGAACTTATGTACATACGTACGAAGTTCTACGTTGCAACTGACTGACTATGTGACAGCTATGGAATACTACCTATAAGGTTGATGAGTTTTAGTTTAACACACAGTCAGTCAGTTAGTTACAACGTAGAAGTTCGTACATACATACATCAGTTCGAGTTGCCATACCACATGCAATTTCCACTTCAAGTCCTATAGTAGTACAGGTAGTACACGTATTACTGGTAATGCAGAAGATTAGGGTACGAGTATACTACTGAAGAAGTATAATCTAGTAAAATAAACTTAAAAAGAGAAAAATAACGGTTATGAAGAATCCCAATGATTAGGAGCCAAGAGGTAACAAAGAATGGACGCACGTGCGCCATTGCAAACGATTCTGAGCCATGTCATTTAAGGTTTCTAACCATTGGTGACTTTCGTCTCGCAGACCCCAACCAGGTAGCCTACATCTACCAACATGACTCAGTCCACTTGTCAGTGAATTCATGCATTTCTGCCATGTTTTGGTTTGGTTACCCCTAGCTTTTTTCCAATCAACTCCTACACTGCAAAACATAGCTCAACGAGGCAGTTGGTGGTTAGGCATACGTAACACATGTCCTAACCACCTCAACTCATAAAGTTTCACTACTTCATCTATGGATCTGCCATCCCTGTCTAGTACTCATTTCCTAACTATAGCATTGCTTACTAGGTTGTCCCAGGATATACGAGTAATGCTTCGAAGACACCTATAACTTGACACACGATCAAAATAGTATCATGATTCTTCTATGACGAAAACTGCCATATTCTAAGGATAAATATTTGACTAATGAGAGTCAAGCTACTATTAAATAATGTCAGTAGTACTGAACGCTAAGTGACATTTTCATCTCAAGAGCAACAACATACAATGAACAATCTGAACAAAATCAACATACCAGTTTCGATTCACGTTCCAGTCGTGCTTGGACTTTACGTTTCTTTTCCAAAATTTTTGTACGCTAAATAAAATAAATAATTTGCATAAAGATGAGTAAAACCGACGATGAAACGACATTTCAATGATGGTTTAGCAATAAATAGAAATCAGCCAATCAGATTCGAAATAGATAATTGTTGAATTAATGTGCCATTTTTGAAACGGAATTGTAGATAACCGGTTATGGGACGTCAAGTTTATGACTATAAATTGTATTCTAGAAAATTTGGTTGGTGATATGACCATAGATCACCGATATAATTTTAGACTATGGAGAAAAAGTATCTTATAATAAAGCTGTAGTCAGAAAATAACATAGAGAGAAATTGCAGAATTCAGAGATGAGCTTTGTTAAGTTCAGGATACTAAAGTTATGATGTTTGCACTTTACTATTCTTTACTATTTTGGTCAATTTTCGAATTATACAATTCACTTACAAAAGCTACATTTCCACTAGCTAATAATTGATTGGTTATCTATCCTCAAGGTATCTCTACTTATAATCACTTCAAGGCGATTAGCACACCAGGTAACAACTGGAAAACGTGAAAAAAAACGAAATGCAATGAATTTTACTATTCAAATGTAAAACAACAATGAATACCAAAGATTTGGTGGTTTAGAATTCGCCATGAAAGTATTTAACACGTCGTGTGTCATGTAGTTTTGTTGGTAAGCAAACTTAATATCTGACTCTGAAAGTCGTTTTCACTTAGAGAACTAAAGTGTTCACCTTGAACATACGCGCTGCTGCACTAGAGTGAATAGAGTATGATGCCAATATCATTGTATACTTTAAAGATGGTATAACAATATACACCAGAGTTCAATTGTATTTATCCTATGAAACAAATGATTATAACAAGTCACAACAAGTAACGATGAGAAAAGAATGGAAAATCACAAAAACAAACACCATCATGAAGCCAATCGACTGCCTTGTTATGAGAAGAACACTTTCTATGAGGTTCTATGATAGCAGTAGGAGAATTCATAAGAGCTGAGTCAGTCAGTTAGATGCAACGTAGAACTTCGTACGTAAGTATATCACTTCATGCTGCTATAACACATCAGCACAGAGATGCAATTGTCAATTCAAATCCAATAGTAGAAGAGTTAGTAAGGGTATTACAAGTAATCGGAGAGGTTAGGATTAGAAGATATTATTCAAGAAGTATGATTCAGTGAGAAAAGTTTAGAAAGTCAAAACTAGAGGTGTTGAAGAATCCAGAAGATTAGGATTTGAGAGAACACAAAGAATAAATGCACCGGCGCTATTGCGAACGATTTTGAGCCATGTCATTCAGGGTATCTAACCATCGATTATTATCATCTCGCGGACCCCAACCAGGTAGTTGACAACTACCGACATGCTCAGTCCACTCGACAATGACTTCATGGATTTCTGCCATGTTTTAGTTTGGCCGCCCCTAACTTTCTTCCAACCTACTCCTACATCACAAAACATAGCTCGTCGAGGCAGTCGGTGGTTAGGCATATGCAACACATGTCCTAACCACCTGAGCTGATGAAGTTTCATTACTTCATCTATTGATCTGTCATTCCTACCTTGCACCCGTTTCCTAATGGCAGCATTGTTTACTCGGTTGTCCCACGATATACGAGCAATGCTTCGGAGACACCTATGATCGAAAACCAATAACCGACGAACATCTTCTACTCTCACTGGCCATGTCTGACAGCCAAAAGGTAGGACGGAGCGAACTACTGCGCAATACACTCGTCCTTTATTCAGCGAACGGATATCTCGCCTACGCCATAAGTGACGAAGGCTGGCAAAAGCCAACCAAGCCTTCTGTATCCGTGCTAAGATTTCGTCCATCACCAGGCCATCGGCACTGATGAGACTCTCAAGATAAGTGAAGCGGTCAACACGCTCGACTACTTATATGAGCTGAGTGAATAAGCTGAGAGTACAGTAAATTACTGAGTTTGTTATTTAGCCTAAACATTCTTACATCTTACTTTTATATGACGTGTTTAAGTTAAAGTATGCTTGATTGCACCTCCACCTTCTCGTCTCCATCGATTATGTTAGATCATGTTACACTTGGTAAAAATCGATCAATGTCTGGGGTTATGATTACTGAAACACTTTGCATAAACAAAGATCATTTCAGTATAGTCAGCTGATTGATTGATTAATTACACAGTTTATCAATAATGCCTTAAAAATCAATGAAAAAAAACAAGGCAACTGAACACCTACTTGTTTTAATTTCTTCTTTCGTTTCTTGTCATTTTTCTGTAGTGGTTTATCAACGTTTTCATTGTTGAATTCAACAGGACCGTTACTTTCTCCCAATTCTTCTTCATCATCATCGTCGACATCCTCATCAGAATCTCGTGCTTCAGGTAATACTTTACGACGAACTTTTCTACGTGATACAGATGTCTGTGATGTTTGTGAGTTTTTCTTTCTTTCCACCGGTCTTAAGTCATAATCTTCATTTTCATCCGAAATATCATTAGGACTGTGGGAAGCTAGATCAAGGACTTCTTCTTCTTCCTCCTCCTCTTCATCGTTTTCGTCTTGATTCAATAAGTCACCATTGCCAACTTTATCAGTGGAAGAAGTTAATCCTAAAAGTGCTAGACGTATTTCAGCTGGTGGAAGTTTTTTCGGTCGATGACGACGAATTCGTGGAACTGTAGGAGCAGGTGGTTCTGATTCCGGATCTGAACTAGCTAATGTACTAGCTTCACTTGAAGATAAAGCAAGATATTTGGAAAGCTATAAATAACAAAAAAAAAAAAGATGAATAAATATAAGTTTGTAAGAAAAAAAAAAATTAAGATCACCAACTGAACAATTGTTGAAAATCATTATTTCATACTAACTAATATGGAACTTGTTTAGATCAGTGTGAAACATCAATGACCCCGTGTCAACAACAAGGATCGAAGCTAAGAGACCGTCGATCGATTTCACGCGTGAACACTTAATTTATAGACCGGTATATCTAATAGAATGAATAATTAGAAAGCGATTAATTCTTTTAAAATGAAAATAAGTTGACAATGCAGTGGTACAAATCATGTACTAAATTAGAGAGATAATAGGGGGTGTAGGAAGGATTTGATTTTGACCAGTTTGGTCTCGCGTGCTGTTACGGGTATGAGGGCGGTTGTCACTTCCCGGCTGCTCACACTATGGAAGGGTGTTTCTTGAGGAACCTGAAAAGGAAGGTGGATTAGTGTTGGTCTTGGAGACCTGGGTGCGTGACCGCAGAGTCCAAGGGACAACTGATTGGGGCCGGTCACGCACGGCCTTTTCATTAAAGGTTTTTTGAGTATTAGCTCCGCTCATTTTAAAGCCCTTAGTGAGCACCCTTACCCAAGGAGACGGGAATCCGTGAGGTAGGTTGAGGTGTGACATTTCTACGGTCGAACTTTTCTAAACCCTCCTTCCTTGTCAGAAGGCAGCATCGCTGCAGATGATGGTTGTCCGAGGGAAGCACCTTACTACTGTCACACCTCTCCATCACAGTCAGCAGTACGACTTCGCCCTCAGACCTTAAGTAGCTGCTTTTAGTCTCATCGTTCTCCAATCGACCTGCATGGCATGGTAGAACCTTCAGGAACATATGTTCCAACCAGTATAGCTTGTTTGGGTCATCAAGATAGGCAAGCCCGACCACCACGACAAGGTAGCAGCTACGGTGAAACTTCATTAGTTGAGGTGGTTGGGACATGTGTTACGAATGCCTAACCACTGACTGCCTCGATGAGCTATGTTTTGTGATGCACGGGGTAGGCTGGAAGAAAGTTAGAGATGGCCATACCAAAACATGGCACAAATCCACGAAGTCACTGACAAGTGGACTGAGTCATATTGGTAGATGTAGACTACCTGGTTGGAGTCAGCGAGACAATCGTACCCGATGGTTATAGACTTTGAATGATATGTCTCAAAATCGTTTGCAATGGTGCAGGTGTATCCATTCTTTGTTTCTGCTCAAATTTTAATCTCCGGAATTCCTTTTATGGCTTTACTTTTTTTCCTCTTTTAAACTTATTTCACTGAATTATACTTCTTGAATTATTTCTGAGAACCCTTATCTTCCTCATTACCGCGAATACTTTTACTACATCTACCACTAAGGGATTTGAATTGACGATTCGATTTGTCTGTGCTATTGTGGTATGTCAACTTGAGCTGATGTACATACGTACATGGCTCTACCTTGTAGCTGACTGACATGCACGCACACACAGTCTATCAGAAGCAACGTGCTTGAATAATTTTCTATGAAATAAGTCTCGGTAGATTTGAAAACTTATTTACAAATATCAACTGGATAATAATAATAAATAGTTCATTCTATCCATCAATACTATAATTAAAGCGATATATAACGCATAAGATCACACGGATTATATTCAGTGTATGGAAACCGAATCAACTGGACTGTATATAGTGAAACCAACTAATGAGTAATGATGACAGTTTAAAACTTTTCAGCGTATAAGAGAAGAGGTAAAAGATTCGCAAGAGTATCACAACTACAGAATTCCGCCTGGAGTCATCCTAGGGTTACTGCAGGTCCTGTTGGGGACTGTAGATCTGTAGTGTGCCTATAACTGCGTGTTCTTACAGCTCCGTTTATAAATCAGAAGGTGAACTCATATTGATGAATACGTTTATTCGAGGCACACCACATACAGACCGAGCAGATACACTAGCGAGCGAATATGCGAATGAGCGAAGCGAATAGGAGAAGGCTAGTGAGCCAACTCCTTGGATTACAATGCAAGCGAATGAGCGGAGCGAATTGGAGAAGGCTAGTGAGCCAACTCAAAGAGATAGAGTATGACTAAGAATATATAGTCAGATAAGAATAAGACAGACATATGACAAGCGAAATAGATATGCACACACATGAATAAAAGCAACGAATGATTGACAAGGTCAAATGCAAGCGATACAAATCATGTGAGTTCATGGGAATACTAAGAGATTAACATTAAAGCGAAAAGGATGAGTAAGCGCGTAGGCGTAAGCAATGCTCAGTCGTATAAGCTCATACAAAGCAGATAATAAAAAATAACAATGGTACATATCAGTTGTTGCTATACAAATGGCTTGGTTAAATAAATTAATCGAAAGGCTTAACCAAGTTAGATGTGAGAGAAGTGAAATATATGTGGAGGCACTACAATAGCCCCCTTCCAGCAAACAAGGTTACGAAAATGTCTTTGTTTGCGAGAAAAAAAATCGAAATTGTCGGAATGCATCAAAAGGTACGAAAATTAAAGTTACCTTGTTCGAGTACGTTCGTAAGTTCGCATAGTAACAGAATATCAAAAATATGTAGTAAGCGGTTATTAGCAAAAACAATCGATTTCGAATAGAATACATTAGGAGCAGTTGTACGGTACGAAAATGTAATACGAATGCTGCAAAATATTTAATATCGTTTAGGCATGACAGTTAAGACGGAATTCGATAATCGCATAGACATTACGGTAAGGCTCATCGATAAATCGAGTGGCTGCAGATTGGTGAAGAAATTTCGGTCGAGATTATCGTGAAAAAAATTTGGAGAATAAAGCTGCTTACAGATGCGATGCATGGACATTAAATGCATATAGAGAACATAAGTTATTACCATTGAGTATATGACTCCAAACTTATGTGTATGATAGCGTTGCAAACCGTTGCCAGCGTTGGGGTAGTCGAAAACATGCGAATATCAGCGTGCAGGAGGTTCGCTCGACTGCTTGAACTGCTGCTTCGTGTGCATGTGCGTAAGATCATACCACCAATTTACTTAGCAGGCTGCAAGATTTTCGAGGTACGAGCAGCTGATGAGTACATCGAAAATATCTCCAATGCGATAATCGTATAGCCACGGAAATATTAATGAATAATAATTGTCATTGAGCCGTTGTTGAAGTAGAAAAGTCGTTCGTGTTGTCGCAAGAAGTAAAATAATTCCGTGAGTTACAAATGTCCTGCCATGAACAGAATATTCGAAATGCGATTCGATTAGCGATTAAGATAATTCCATTATTGTCATAATATCATGATTAATCATAATAATGGTTCTTTCACATTAATACGATAATGATACGATATTTCGAGAAATATATTAATGCGACGAGTTGGTACATAATCAAAATGACAATAAGATAATGCTTGATTCGTTCAGCTAATGCATTAAGTATGAGAACTGCTTTGTCGCTGCATGGCGTCGGGATTTCCAGTTAGCGATTCTGTTCGATTTGTCCTCGAGATTACCAACTGGTTGATTATATTCGATTTGTCATCGGAATAGTCGAATTATGTAGTGAGAGTTTACTGATCTTCTGTGAAGACGTATGGACGAATGAATCGAGCGAAGCCAATAGGGAGTGATATGAATGAACGACGGGTTCAACATTTTGAATGGTGGCCGATTTCGCTGACGTCGGGATAACCATTTTGTAGATAACTGGCGAGCGGATGCACAGAAGAATGGTTGCGTTCGATTCTACGTCGAAATTACCAGTTAATTGTAAGCGTTCGATTTTTTGTCAGCATCAGGAAACATCCTGAGAACGGCGGGATCACCATTGTGTAGTGTGCCGATAACTGCGTGTTCTTACAGCTCCGTTTATAAATCAGAAGGTGAACTCATATTGATGAATACGTTTATTCGAGGCACACCACATACAGACCGAGCAGATACACTAGCGAGCGAATATGCGAATGAGCGAAGCGAATAGGAGAAGGCTGTTGAGCCAACTCCTTGGATTACAATGCAAGCGAATGAGCGGAGCGAATTGGAGAAGGCTAGTGAGCCAACTCAAAGAGATAGAGTATGACTAAGAATATATAGTCAGATAAGAATAAGACAGACATATGACAAGCGAAATAGATATGCACACACATGAATAAAAGCAACGAATGATTGACAAGGTCAAATGCAAGCGATACAAATCATGTGAGTTCATGGGAATACTAAGAGATTAACATTAAAGCGAAAAGGATGAGTAAGCGCGTAGGCGTAAGCAATGCTCAGTCGTATAAGCTCATACAAAGCAGATAATAAAAAATAACAATGGTACATATCAGTTGTTGCTATACAAATGGCTTGGTTAAATAAATTAATCGAAAGGCTTAACCAAGTTAGATGTGAGAGAAGTGAAATATATGTGGAGGCACTACAGATCCGCAGAACTCACTTGATAAACGTCCTAATTTTGGATTTTATGTTTAAGCGCATGAGCTGATCAGCTGACATTGAGACTTCATCTCCCACCCAGAAAATCCTTCACTGTGATTGGTTGATGTATCATTTTAGTAGGCTATTTTCGTGGTTCTTCCAAGGACCTTTCTATCATGTATAAATAAACTTGATTTGTGTGCTTGTTGACCTCATATTTTCTGGGTACTTGTAGAATACACTTTCTACGCCATTTGAAGACTTCTTCTTCTACTTGTTGGGGCCTTGGGACGCTCGGATTAGAGTAGCCTATCGTGTCACTGGATCATTTGTCTTCGCTCTCGTTTACTGACTGAGATGAACTCGTAGTAGTTTCAAGCATATTGTTTGACGACCATAACAGGTCCCAAACCCGGAGGAGGGTTCGGCATGGGACTGGCGACTCCATCCCATAGAAATCCAACTCACTAAAACAAAACTCAAACTAGAAAAATAATTCACTGGTCGGTGGCCTAAACTCCATTAGGGGTAATAGGATCCGTTGTTACCTAACACAAAAATTTAGTTACTTTCTCGTAAATATTCTGTGACATACGTGAATACAATTAAACAAGTGTCTATGAAACTAAACACAAACTAATCCAACTATATTAATAAGGAAAAAAAAAGGATTCCACTTTTTGCTTACTTCATCTCGATTCTCGGTTAAAGTAGTTTTAGGATCAATATCTGGACGGAATTGATCACGTAGCCAATTGGTTCGATCAGCCGGTGTTTTATCCCATGTTATGCCTATTCGTGTTGAATGTAAGGCACTGGTTTCAAAACGAACTGGAGCATATTTGGTTTTATTGATTTCACGACATTCACTAACCAGATGAGCATATTCTGGAGGAACCTGAAATGTTTTATTTTTTTTTAGAAAAAATGAGGTATAAAAATACAAGTGTGTAGAATAAATAGACAAATGAGTGATTGATGATATGAAAGTCAGTCAGATTCAACGTAGAACTTCGTACGTAAGTACATCAGTTCATGTTGCCATACCACATTGGCACAGAGATGTAATTGTCAATTCAAATCGAATAGTAGAAGAAGTAGTAAAGGTATTAGAAGTAATCGGAGAAGTTAGGATTATTAGATATTATTCAAGAAGTATGATTCAGTGAGAAAAGTTTAGAAAGTCAAAACTAGAGGGGTTAAAGAATCCAGAAGATTAGCATTTGAGAGAACACAAAGAATAAATGCACCGGAGCCATTGCAAACGATTTTGAGCCATGTCATTCAGGGTATCTAACCATCGATTATCATCATCTCGCGGACCCCAACCAGGTAGTCGACAACTACCGACATGACTCAGTCCACTCGTCAATGACTTCATGGATTTCTGCCATGTTTTGGTTTTGCCGCCCCTAACTTTCTTCTAACCTATTCCTACACTACAAAACAAAGCTCGTCGAGGCAATCGGTGGTTAGGCATACGCAGCACATGTCCCAACCACCTCAACTGATGAAGTTTCATTACTTCATCTATTATTGATCTGCCATTCTTACCTAGCACCCGTTTCCTAATGGTATGAAAAGGGTTCTATAACACAATTTCAAAAAACCAGTCAGCTTCAACGTAGTACTTGCATCAGTTCAATTTTCCAATCCACATTAGCTAGAATTGTCAATTCGAATCCCTTAGTAGTAGGGATAGTAGGAGTATTAGTGGTAATGGAGAAGATTAGAGTTCCGAGATATGATTCAAGAAGTATAATCCAAACAAATGAACAAGATGAATAAAAACTTTGAGTTGTTTCTTCAATTATATCTTATTAACCCTTTCTCTTGTGTTCCACATAAATGAAGCAAATATTTCAGTGAGAATAATACTGTTTTGATAATTCCAAGTGAACAAATGGAAATAAATATAAATGAAAATATTATCGGACTTAACACCGGTGCACATCCACAACGCCGCAGACGAGAATCGAACCCCAAACGTTCGGTCTCGCATGCAAACGCTTAATCTTTTCATCACTAAGCTAGCATCGAACGGTGTTAATGTTCAACTTCAACCAATCATATGATATTGCGCGAACATCATCCATTCTTTTCCGTGGGTAACCTCTTTAAACTCGAACGGTCATGACTTTTCATTGGGACTCCGAGGAATTTCTTCACGAAGATAGTCACTAGTGAGCACATCCTAACCTTCATTATAGAGTTGTATACTGAGTTCCACTGAAATAATCAGTTGATTGAAGTTAGACATTAACACCGTTGAATGCTAACTCAGTAAGTCAAGGTTAGGCATTCGCATGCAAGACTGACTGCTCTGGGTTTGATTCCAGCTGGCGGAGTCACATAGATGTGGACTGCTGATGAATCCGATACTAGGACGAAACGGCCTTCCGGTGATTCCAGGTTTTCAATGGTGATCCAACACTGGTCAGTTTATGAGTTTAATGAAACAATGACAATCTCCACAACCCAAAATCGAAAGATGATTACAGTATTATTACCAAGATTTAATTTGATAGTTTCAAATAATAAACTGACCATTGAACAAACTGTTAATACACTCTTAAACAAAATCAGCAGTTAGACACGATAAGTAGCTGGTTTAGTTAAGCGGATTAATGTGGTCCTCGAGTTGAATCCGATTTCAGATTATATAGTGTCAAATTCATCAATGGATACACTGAGGTGACAACATATGAACAGTCAGGTAATGGTTAAAAGTAGTCAACGGGAAACCCTACTTGACCTGGATTTCGTGCCACTTAATACTCATGTATCTGTGTTCTTAAAAGAGCTGATGATCCCTGGCAGATATTCATTGACTTTAAAAATCTTAGTCCTACAGGATGCCCATCACGGGGTTGAATAACTCAGTGTTATCTTCTCAAACTATGGAGCTGAGTGACACAGGATGGAGTGCATTAAGGAGCTTAGCTTTTGTCAACTTGCGTCACTTATGGCGTAGGAGAGATATCCGTCTACCAACCAAAGGACGAGTCAACTGCGCAGTAGTTCGCTCCTTCCAACTTTACGGCTGTGAAAACATGGCCACTAAGAGTAGAGGAAATTCGTAGGTTACTAGAATTAGATCATAGGTGTCTTCGAAGCATTGCTCGTGTATCCTAGGATCAATGAGTAAGCAGTGCTGTTGTTTGGAAAAGGGTATTAGGTAAGGATGGCCGATCGATAGATGAGGTAGTGAAACTTCATCGGTTGAGGTGTTACGTATGCCCAAGTACCGACTGTCTCATCGAGTTATGTTTAGTGGTGTAGGAGTAGGTTGGAAGAAAACTAGTGGCGGCCACACCAAAATATGGCATAAATCCATTAAGTCATTGACAATTGAACTGCGTGTTGAAGTGGTTGGGACATGTGCTACGTATGCTTAACCACCGACTGCCTCGACGAGTTTTGTTTTGTAGAGTAGGAGTAAGTTAGAAGAAAGGGGCGGTCAGACCAAAACATGGCACAAATCGATGAAGTCATTGACAAGTGGACTTAGCCATGTCGGTAGTTGTCGACTACCTGGTTGGGGTCCGCGAGATGATAATAATCGATGATTAGATACCCTGAATGACATGGCTATAAATCGTTCGCAATGGCGCCGGTGCATTTATTCTCTGTGTTCTCTCAAATCCTAATCTTCTGGATTCTTCAACACCTCTAGTTTTGTCTTTCTAAACTTTTCTCACTGAATCATATTTCTTGAATATCTTCTAATCCTAACCTCTCCGATTACTTCTAATACCTTTACTACCTCTTCTACTATTCGATTTGAATTGACAATTACATCTCTGTGCTGATGAAGTGTCGTAACTTGAACGCTGATGTACGTAAGTACAAAGTTCTACGTTGAAGCTGATTGACTGACTGATTACATTACATTTCAACATAGAGTGAATGCAATGTAGAGTCTCATTTAAACTGTTAGTGGCCATTTTGCCAACCTGATCGATCGAATTCTGTTAGTGGGACATAGATGGAATTAAAGCATGACTGCGTCAGCTTCGCGCTGATTGGCTAATTTCCTATCCAATCAGCGCCTGATCGATTCTTGGAGAACAGGTTAGAAAATTCTCGTACTTTTAGCTGCATGCTGATTGGTTAAATCTAATCCAGTCGATCACGTGAATTTCTATCCAGAAGCTTCTCATGTAAATCCTATAAATAAACTAACGTTGTATCTATTTTTGCCTTCTTGGCCTTCGCCATCACCTTTGGCTTCTTATTTCCATTTAACCTTTTCTATTTGGAATATAATCTCTATTCCTGTTCCACCGTGTTTTTGATTCTTGGGAACTTTGTCTAGTGTATTGTGTGGTCAGAGAATAACTAAGCAATAGGATTTAGCCTGGGAATATTATATTTAACCAAGCGTTACAACAAATTCAATCATCACTAAGAAGTGCTTGATTCAATATTCAGTATTCAATAGCTAATAATGAATTGAACATACAAATATGACATTTTTATGTACAGGCAGAAGAAAAGAATAAAAAAACCAAGATATATACAGACAATCATAACTTACTTCAAATTGTTGATCATTATCAACAAAACGTAAATCTAATCGAGAACCGGAACTTTCATATTCCAATCCATCACATGCTGTATAAATTGCTTCCGCTGTTTCAACACTATCAAATTCAATAATAGCATAGAAATATTTCAATCGTGCCAACTGGTATTCACGTATACGACGTCGTAGTTTCGAGGATGCATTACGCCAACCAGATTTTTCATCAATATCCCCTATCGAAGACATAGTCGGATTCTCTACAGTTGGATTGTTTCTTTCATTAGATTCTGTATCTGATTCAGTTGGACGTAATTCAAGTGGTCCATGAATAGCTTCATCTGCCATACGTTTAATACCAAACTCAGAAGGATAAATCTGAATTGGTGTTATACAACAAAATAATAAAACAGAAACAGGCTGATGACGCGAACAAATACATGTGTGTATATATTGAATTAAAAGAGTTAACATAAAAGGCCAGTCCGAAGCCGGGATAAAGGAGGAGGGTTCGGAGTGGGGTTGGTGAGCCAATCCCACAAAAAACGCTAACAAGAAAAAATAATTCAGACCATTTAAAACCTGTTCTGGGAGTTAGGTGTTCATTTAGAAGAGCTGTGACGTCTTATGATGAAAGCCGAGTTCCTTCGGAAGTCGCGAGGCCGATGCCCTTTCTGACGACCAGAGCCTTTCCACGGTGTGTGGGCAGTCGGGAAGTAACAGTCGCCCTTATACCCATAAAAGCACACGAGACAAAATTACTTACTTACTTACTTTCGCCTGTTACCCCCAATGGAGCATAGGCCGCCCACCAGTTTTCTCCAACCAACTCTGTCCTGGGCTTCTCGCTCCAGTTCTGTCCAATGTTTGTTCATTCCTCGCATATCTTTCTCTATTTTTCGGCGTAGTGTGTTCCTTGGCCTTCCTCTTTTCCTTTTGCCTTGAGGGTTCCATGTGAGGGCTTGTCTTGTGACGCAGTTAGGTGATTTCCGCAATGTGTGTCCTATCCACTTCCACCGCTTCTTCCTGATTCCCTCCTCCACTGGAATCTGGTTTGTCCTCTCACACAGTTCGTTGTTGCTGATGGTGTCTGGCCAACGAATACGAAGTATTTTGCGTAGACAACTGTTAATAAACACTTGTATCTTCTGGATGATGACTTTCGTAGTTCTGCAAGTTTCCGCTCCATACAGTAGAACTGTCTTGACATTTGTATTGAAAATCCTGATTTTGGTTTTGGTTGAAAGTTGTTTGGAGATGGAGATATTTTTCAACTGTGTATATATTGAATTAAAAGAGTTAACATAAAAGGCCAGTCCAAAGTCGGGATAAAGGAGGAGGGTTAGGAGTAGGGTTGGTGAGCCTGTAGTGCCTCCACATATATTTCACTTCTCTCACATCTAACTTGGTTAATCCCTTTCGATTAATTTATTTAACCAAGCCATTCGCTTAGCAACAACTCATATGTACCATTGTTATTTTTTATTATCTGGTTTGTATGAGCTTATACGACTGAGCATTGCTTACGCTTACGCACTTACTCATCCTTTTCGCTTTAATGTTAATCTCGTAATATTCCCATGAACTCACATGATTTGTATCGCTTGTCATTTGACCTTGTCAATCATTCGTCGCTTTTATTCATGTGTGTGCATACCTATTTCGCTTGTCATATGTCTGTCTTATTTTTATCGGACTATATATTCTTAGTCATACTCTATCTCATTGAGTTGGCTCACTAGCCTTCTCCACGTCGCTTCGTTCATTCGCTTGCATTGTAATCCAAAGAGTTGGCTCACTAGCCTTCTCCTATTCGCTTCTTCAATTCGCTATGTGGTGTGCCTCGAATAAACGTATACGATTCTTGGAATTCATCTTCTGATTTATTAACCGTCAGACGTCATTTGGGATAAGACAATATGAACGAGCTTATTACGAAACGTAAGAACACGCAGTAAATCGGCACACCTCAAGCCCATCCCGCAAAAAAACGAACTGGCCAGAAAAAATAATTCAAACTATTTAAACTCTGATCGGCGATTTAGGAGGTGTTCATTTAGAAGAGTTAGGACGCCTAATGAGGAAAGACAAGTTCCCCTTCTGACAACCAGAGCTCTTCCACAGTGTGGGCAGCCGCGAAGTAACATTCGCCCTTATACCCATAAAAGCACATGAGACAAAATTAGTCACAATCAAATCCTTTCTACACCTCCTAATAACATAAAATACAGTTGTCAGTCATTGACACAATTGTTATAATGTGCTAAGTAGCTATTCGAAATCCTACCGATTGAACAAATTCAGATGTTCCAGTACGACCCTAAACACTGTTCCCAAATCTCCAATATTACCAGAACACAACACCGTTAGATGAAGTTGTTTATGGGGTCGAGTACAAAAGGAATGATAAGCTTTACAGATAATGCATATTTATACAGTTAAATAGAGTAGGAAACAACATTGAAGTATGTGATATTGACAGTTAGGACGACTATGATATTGACCAGTAGGAATTGACCAATAGAATTAGACTTACAAAAATAATTCTCTTAGGATGTTTGATGAATATCCTAACAATAATCAAGTAGATTAGTGTTATAACGGTGGTTTTCAAGTATTTTTCCTTTAGTGCATTATTTCACAGAGACTGAGTGGGTGATCTTGTTCATTCTACCACTGGATCGGATAACACACTATACAGAGACTAGATCATGTTAAACCAGATGATATGTACTAGTCACGATTCGAAATAGAGAACCACAGCAAGCGATAGACAATACTTTATTACACACAATTACAAGTTGTCACAGTCAGTGAATTCGGAATAGAAATCATAGTACTTATCAGTCAATAAGCTAAGTGCTTGTTTGTCTACACACAATGACTAATCATATTACACTTTCATTACCATACATCAACCGGTATGAAACAAAGAAACCTATCTGCATCATAACACACGATTTGACTATTAATACGATTGCTTCTCCCTGCCAGCTCATTACTTCATGTCACATTGAGCCGTATGAATATGAGGGGATTACACGATATATCATTTAGAAAACATACAACACTTTATCTACATTCCTAACCAACCAGTGGAGTTTAGCCGTTTGAGTGATAGGAAGGCACTCACTGAAGACAATCGAAGATAGTTACATGATATCGTGTATTGCTTGAAGTTAAACTTGTACACCATTGAATACCGATTTAGTGGTTGGGGGATCAAGCGTTCGCGGTCTTTAGTTTGATTTATTAGTTCCAAGATATTATTCAAGAAGTACAATTCAGTGGAATAAATTTAGAAAGAGAAAGATAGAGGTGATGAGGAATTCAGAAGATTAGAATTTGAGAGAACACAAAGAGTGGATGCACATGTGCCGTTGCAAACGATTTTGAACCGTGTCATTTAAGGTCTCTAACCGTCGGTTACTATCGTCTCGTGGACCCCAACCAGGTAGTCTACATCTACCAACATGACTCAGTCCACTTGTCAGTGACTTCATGGATTTGTGCCATGTTTTGATTTGGTCACCCTTAGCTTTCTTCCAACCTTCTCCTACACCACAAAACATCGTAAAGTAAAAAGATTACATGGAAATTGGTGAGTTCGACTCACCAGCTTCCGAGATGTGCTTTTTAAATATTGTGTAACTGAGTTGCCGAACACCATTACAATAATCCATGATCTGGCTTCTATGACTCAACTATTTGATTGCTTAGTATTCTTCGACACTTACTACTACACAAGGCTCAACCAGTCCTCGAAATCAGAATATGGTTTGAAGTGTATTGATAATTTTTACATAAGAATATTCTCGAGTCTTCTGCAACTACCCGTTAACACTGATTGGCTAATGACGCGCTAACCAGTGCTTTCCAACATAATCTTGTATTGGGTATGCTTCAATCCCATCTATGTCCGACTATCAACATATGATTGTAAAGACTTATCCTTCATAAATCACTTGAATCACTGGTCCCATGGCTCACTTCATCATAATTCATAATCTTAACAGGATACAGTTGTACTGCTTGTAGATATGCAATGATTACTTGACCCCATAAACCGTGGTAGAACTGAGAGTGGGGAGAGTCCGCTCTCCTACTCCAAATCCTCTCATTTGGCCACTGCCACAAAAGTTCTACTCACTGCCTTCTCGTGACCGGCGTGTTGTCTGAGAAATTGAAAGGACGAAAAGCGAAAGTCCAGTCAGAGCTTAGATCTAGACCGTGGATAGGGAGTATGCATTTAGGGGGATTGAAATGTCCTCATTCAAAACCAATAGTGTACATTGATTCAAGGATTCTGAGAGAACAAATAGTGTACGAACCTATTGTTGGTCACCGGCTTCTATGAAAATGCATCGCCTAACATTGCTTCACTGCTTTTTAGATTAGAACTGCAGGTAAAATGTTCGGTGAGTGGCCCCCTAAGAAAGCTATCTGCTTCAGTTCATGCACCTGGGCAGTATCTCAGCTCACTCATAAATTCGATAATTTATGAGGCGCATATATATTTAGGTATTCATTTATACCGATGATCACGTGTTTAAACAAATAAATATGGCTTATATCTAGGTACCTGATGAGTGAGTTGATTTAAATTTTAGTTTATAAAAACCTAAATACACAATCTACTGATGGATAACACGGCAAATAAGTGAAATTACAAACATTTAAATCTAGTCTTTTACTTAAATCATTATGATCACAAAAAAACATTGGTGTAATATCCAGTGCGAGGATCAGTCAGTCAGATGCAACGTACAACTTCGCACGTAAATACATCAGTTCATGTTGCCATACCACATCAGCACAGCGATATAATTGTCAATTCAAATCCCACAGTGGTAGAGGTAGTAAAGGTATTAAAAGTAATCGAAGAGATTAGGATTAGAAGATATTATTCAAGAAGTAAGATTCAGTGAGAAAAGTTTAGAAAGTCAAAACTAGAGGTGTTGAAGAATCCAAGAACGATTTTGAGCCATGTCATTCAAGGTCTCTAACCATCGATTATTATCATCTCGCGGACCCCAACCAGGTAGTCGACAACTACCAACATGGCTAAGTCCACTAGTCAATGACTTCATGGATTTCTGCCATCTTTTGATCTGACCGCCCCTAACTTTCTTCCAACCTACTCCTACACTACAAAACATAGCTCGTCGAGGTAGTTGGTGGTTAGGTATACGCAGCACATGTCCCAACCACCTCAACTGATGAAGTTTCATCACTTCATCTACTGATCTGCCATTCTTACCTAGTACCCGTTTCCTAATAACAGCGTTGCTCACTCGGTTGTCCCACGGTATTCGAGCAATGCTTCGAAGACATCTATGATCGAAAACCAATAACCGACGAATATCTTCTACTCTCACTGGCCATGTTTCACAGCCATAAAGTAAGACGGAGCGAACTACTGCACAGTACACTCGTCCTTTAGTCAGCAAACGGATATCTCGCCTTCGCCATAAGTGACGCAGGTTGGCAAAAGCCAATCGAGCCTTCTGTATCCGAGCTGAGATTTCGTCAGTCACTAAGCCATCGGCACTGATCAGACTGCCAAGATAAGTGAAGCGGTCTACACGTTCGACTACTTCACTGCCTATCACTAATTCAGGTGCCGATGAAACTAGTGCAAGGATGACAGGTAGTTTAACATTTTACAATTTAATAAACTTACTGTAACTTTTTCAATATGACCTCTAGCTGGTAAAAATGATTCTAAAACCATATAAATTGTTTCTGGTTTTGAATTATCCCAATCGAAATGAAGTAAAGCTAATCTATGACTTGTTTGAGTAGCAGGAATTGAATCTTTTGTTAATTCATACCAATCTGCACCTTATTTTAGAAGAAAAAAATAATAATAAATTGATTATGAATAATAAAAAAATGGTCCAATAAAACAATATAATAGAATGCGAATTCTTTATCTTTGATCTAGATCATCGCGAGTAGTATAACTTTCTAGGTGTTTACGGACAGGACAGAATTTAGAAGTTTAGAGTACAGTTTTAACGTAGACCACATCTTCACACTACGACAGGTCCTGGAACACAGACACACATTTAGGCGTCCTACAATAGTTGTGTTCCTGGATCTAAAAGCGGCATTCGACTCAGTGGATCATGAGGTTCTGTGGCAGTGTCTGTCATTGAAAGGTGTACCAAAGAAGTACATTAACCTTATACAAGTTCTCTACTCGAACACCACTGGTCGAGTGAGAGCTTATGGCGAACTGTCATCGGAATTCCTTACTTCAAGTGGCGTCCGTCAGGGATGTCCACTTTCTCCATTCTTGTTTAATTTTATCATAGACATGCTGCTAGATATAACCTAATCCCCGTCTGAATTTTCAGGAGTAGACCTACCAGGAAAATCCCTTACTGACTTAGTATATGCCGATGACATAGTTCTATTCGGTGAAGACGCTGACAAAATGCAGTCTTCTGACTACCATAAGCAACAATACAAGCATGTTTGGGATGCGGTTTCCCTCCCAACCCCGAAATGCAACATGATGCTTCAAGACTGGGTTGCATCAGCACCTGAACTAGTGATAGGGAGTGTTGATCACTTCACTTATCTGGGGAGTCTCATCAGCGCTGATAGCCTGGTGACTGACGAAATCTCAACGCGGATACAGAAAGCTAGATTTGCTTTTGCCAACTTACGTCGTTTATGGCGTAGGCGAGATATCCGTTCGCTAACCAAAGGACGGGTGTACTGCGCAGCAGTTCGCTCTGTTCGCCTACATGGCCGTTAAGAGTAGATGTTCGTAGGTTATTAGTCTTCGATCATCGGTGTCTCCAAAGCAATGCTTGTGTATCCTGGGACAACCAAGTAAGCAATGCTGTCGTTAGGAAACGAGTAATATGTAAGAATGGCAGATCAATAGATGAAGTATTAAAACTTCATCAGTTGAGGTGGTTGGACATGTGTTACGTATGGTTAACCACCGACTGCCTCGACGAGCTATGTTTCGTGGTGTAGGAGTAGGTTGGAAGAAAGCTAGGGGTGGCCAGACCAAAACATGGCAGAAATCTATGAAGTCACTGACAAGTGGACTGAGTCATGTTGGTAGATGTAGGCTATCTGGTTGGGGTCCGCGAGACGAAAGCCACCAATGATTAGAGAGCTTGAACGACATGGCTCAAAATCGTTTGCAGTGGCGCAAGTGCATCCATTCATTGTGCTCTCTCAAATCCTAATCTTCTGGATTCGTCAGTACCCCTACCTTTGTCTTTCTAACCTTATCTCACTCACTGAATTATACTTCTTGAATAATATCTTCAAACCCTAGTCTTCTTCATTACCATTAAAACCTCTACTATCTCTACCACTATGGGATTTGATTTGACATTTGCGTCTCTGTGTTAATGTGGTATGGCAACCTAAACTTATGTACATACGTACGAAGTTCTACGTTGCAACTGACTGACTGACAGTTCTAACTACCGTAACTTTGGAATAGAACATATTTAGTAGAAAGAAATAGTCTAAATACCATAATATTGCTATACTTGCGCTAATTAAGTAACAAATTGACACAACAACGGGATAACTAAACAACTCTTTGGAACCCAACCCAGTTAACTAGAGCAAGAAGTTTACAGTCAGCAAAAAAAATGTATCATTCACAAACAGCTCTGAGCGAACGAATTAATGAGCATTTAATTTAAGCGTAATTTATACCCTACAAAAACTGGCCTTATTTATGATAACAGTGAACAACTGTTCAAATCCAACAAAGAAATGGGTATCAAAAATTCGACTGTTAGTTAGATTATCTTGAAAAAAAGTTTGGACTATTATTCACTCTCAATCCACGAGATTGAACTGATAGGCAGAACATTTTAGAAAAGTTCAACTGACCATAAGCCGCACTTTAGTAACCCATCATGTTTAAGTAACCTGAATGGCCATTCGATGTAAGTCTAGCTTTTAGTGAGGCTGTAGGCAATCTAACGAGAGGAAGAGTAGCAGGTCCCGATGGATTAACCTCTGAGATTTTTAAGTTTAATGGTTTAGTTCCAGCAGTTAGATCAAATGAGTCCTCAGCTAAAACAATCGCATTGAGTAAGTAATGCCTGGTCGAGGAAAAGAGTAATGAGAAAAAATAACAAACCGATTGATGAAGTAGTAAATTTCCATCAACAGAGGTAGTTAGGATAGCTCGAATAACCCAGTTTTCTGTCTAAGTGAACTAATCATGAACATAGCTTAAATCATATTACACAATAGCCGAGTGTTATTATCTGATATGACTGGTTGTCAATATGGGCAGGTGATATCCAGCTAGTCATTTTGTGTAATGGGATATTTTGTCATTATTCAATATTGCTGAAAAATAATTACTCATTCTTTGTCTCTTTTTAGTAAGCGAAAGCAGATTAAAAACTAACCTTGTAGGTCTTCAATATCCTCGAAAACATTAATTTCTTCGTCATCACTAGGGGAAGTGCTTGATTCAGTTTCGGAGACATCGAGTTGGGAACCTTCATCGCTACTAGAGTCTGGTTCTTTATCTACACCATCCTTCTGAATTTTAGATGCTAGAAGCTGTTTCACATATGCTCGTGGATTTTTGAACCAAGGGCGCCCACGTTTATCCTTGAAAGATGCTTCTGGTCCAACATCATCAAAAAGATCTTTGACAGTTCTTGTCTTTTTGGCACCTTTACGTTTACCAGGGGCAAGTAAAGGATCGTGAGGTATTTCTTCCAAATTTTTGTTATCCATTGATAATTCTGAAAAGCTATTATTTAAAACAACGGATAAAACTTTTGACTGAAGATAAAACAAAAAATGCATTCCATTAAATTACAGCTTATACGAAATTCTTTTTAAAAGGAAAGAAATGCTTTTCAAACAACCGTACATTGGTAATCAAAGTATTCAAAAGACTTCGCGCTGAATTAACCTCCTCATTAAACTGGATTGAGTCATCTAAGTACTCTAAGTCAATAAAATAGTCGGAAGGAGAGGTAAGACGGAAACATGTCTATGGCAGAATTAAATACAAATAGGAGAAATGTGTATCACCAACGAAAACCAAGTGAAGCAGATAATCAAAATGAAGATTTGTGGGTACGTCTGATACGAACGAAAATTTGAAATTGAAGAGACAGTTGGTAAGAGATTTTATATATTTCGAATAAGTGAATAGAATGACGCCCTCAAGCCACGAAAAGTGATTTTTTATCATGACTTGTTTCATTTTGTATCACTGCTCATCATTATGAAGGAAAGGTTGTTAACTATGCCTTCATAAACGGATTTTCAAAACATAGAGACATTAATACTGAGACCGAAAAATTAAAAATAAGGGTATAAATGATATTACTAATAGTGATATGACACGGCCGAAAGTGGGAAGTCTGCTCGCCTACTTTAAATCCCATCGAATGGCCACGTGTGCAGCCACTGCCACGAAAGTTCTACTCTGCTTTCTCGTGGACGGGGTTTTATTGACAAAGTTGGAAGGATGAAATACGAATGTGCTAAGACCTGGTTCTTGTGTAAGTAAAATCTATCTAGAGGAGCTGGAAAACCCCCAGTTTACACCAGAGATGCTTCTCGGCCCTAAAATATCTGATTAGTGGTGCATAAATATTTAAATGTTAAAACGAATACAAACTAGTGGCAAAAGTATAACAAACGTGAATTAAGTCTAAAAAACAAACAAACAGAACGTGGAAAAAAAGGAACAAGAAAAATCAAAACTACGTATTTAGAGGGAAAAATAAAATGGACACGTTTTTGCCAGTGACTAACTTTTCTGACGTTTTAAAACTCAGTAAGTCTCTGAGAGATGTCTAATTTATTCAACAGTAATTTATACATCGAGCATGAAAACACGCTAAAAATAATTGACCAGATAACAAACCCTCACAACTAACAAAGCATTTTTGGTGAGCCGATAACAACCTATTGCGGGACAATTAAGTCTCACTTCAATGGTGATAAAACTAACTTATTCGAAAGCTTGTCTTAAACTTTCCCAATTTAAACTATTCACTACAAGTTGTACATCTACTGAGTGTCTGTTCGACAGTTTTAGAAATATTAGATTGACTAAATCCAGATTTTGAAAGGTTGTATATTTTGGTACATATATGAGTGTATTTGAATGGAAATCATGAGATATTTACCACCATAAACATTCCAGGCTACCAAAATGTTTGGCCGAATCACGTGTAGCGGTATACTTAGCAGGTTCAAACTACCCTCCGCAATGTCCAATATCCAATATCTTTTTCACGAGCTAGCATTCGGTTCCAGGTGTTTGGTAGTATCGAATGAATGAGGCTCTAGCCACTCCACTGTTTAATTCTAGTCAGTCGACAGAGTTCAGAATAATTCTGTGGTGATATCACCAAGTGGTCTTAGCATAAAGTGAAAAGACTTATTTGCCCTGGCTGCGTCCCCTACATAGTTCGGACTCGTAAAGAGGCTTTCTGTGGTTATCAAACCGAGATCGCGCTCTGAGGAGACCTTAGGGAGCAGACTTCGACTGAGGGTGTAAATCGTTTGCGTCATGTGGGACAGAACGTGCCTGACATGACACTTAGGTTGTTGAGTTTTAAACCGTTTTTCACTGCCCATTTCTCAATAGATGTAAGGTCCTTCTGAAGCCCAGTCGAATCCTCTTCACTTATAATGGACCTCCAGATCTTCCTATCGTCTGCGAAGATCAGTGCCGGTGAACTAACTGTGTCTAACCTCTCGTTAGAAAATATCAAGGAGCGAAGTCGACCTAAGATGGTCCATTGTGAAAATCCAGATGTGGATACTCTCCAGCTGGCGTTAACTCTATTTACCTTGGTAGGAAACTTTCTATTCTCAAGGTAGTTTCTGGGCCAAGATTCGAATATGTCAGCGAAGCTCATTTCCACAACCTTTGCGATTAGGCTTGTGTGGGGGTACTATGTCGAAGTCTCATGCAAAGTAGACAAATATTGAGTGCACCGGTATTTTACGGTCCAAACAGGATGTCCAACTTTCCGATAATGTGAGAAGATTCGATGCTCATGACCTGCCTTTCCGAAACCCATGTTGAGCTTCATGGAGTATTTTATTCTTATCCATGTACTGCCTCATTTGTTCGTTCACCAGTCACCAAATAAATCAATCAAGATTGTCATCAACATATGCATGCACATAGTCGAAACTCTTAAATACTTTGTCGAAGAATCATTTAAACTTCTGAGGTGCACTTCTTACAACAAAGTGCGAACAAAAACGTCCGTAGAGTTCAAAAGGTGTGATAGTAGAGGAGTAAGAGGTGTTTTTCGCAGCCATAGGGGTTTTGGTTGTGAAGTTCAGACAAGCCATTTTTCAAAAAGACAGTTGTGTCTTTAACTTCAGGAATATAAGGTGGCGGATTACGGTCAGTAGTTGTTTTTAAAGCTTTGGCCAATTGAATACACTTTATTATCCTCTTTAGAGGACAATCGAAGATGTCTGTGGCTTGTTTGCTGGCCAGAATATCCTCATGTCCGTCTGTCATCGAATTAACTCTTAAACAAGCTTAGCTTTTTAGCTGTCAGTTAGCGCATTTCAGGTAGACCAATTGTCCTGAAATGAAGTGTAACTTTGATCGTTAAACATGGCTATTGCGTCAGTGCAAAGAACAAGTTTTTTATATGTTGATCGCGTATAAGCTACCGCAAGAAATTTCACAACACCATCTGTTAATCTCCATGTGTTTGGATAGACTAGTCGGTATACACTACTATCTCGAGCCGACTTGGCTCGTCCAAGCCTCTGAACAGACCTATCAGTCAACTGACTTGGAGTCATTCTTCATATATCTTTTGATCTTTTCCATTATTTGCATATAATCCTAGTTGTTTTTACTTGACTGTGCATGTGCTGCTTACTTTGCTTATCAGATGACTAGCTTATTTTTGTCTAGCTATGAATTATTAGTCATGCCTTATCACGGTGAACTGGCCAACAGAACATCCCCGTTCTTCATTACTACAATTCACTTTCAGGTCTTCTATTCATATATCTGCTTGCTAACCGAATATATGAACTGTACTGAGCTTCTTATTACTGTAGTTGCAGAAATGTAGTCAGCTGAAATGTATTATATAAAAATAAAAAGGACGTTTATTTCACATGTTCAGTTGTTCCTACAAATCGGAATCAGATTCCAGGTCCCTTAAATTATTCATAGAGGATTTTCGTTTACTGAGCTGGATATTTTGGTTTTATAGCACTCATTATTCTACCAAACGGCCTCATCAGCATGAACTTCAATCGGAAGTGAAGCATTCAAATTCCATGTCTGACCTGCATCGTGACCTGTTGAAAGCACCACACCCAGAAGAACCAGCTCAGAGAAATAAATCCCACCATAATCACCCAACTGAGGTACAAATTTTTCCTATCATCTCACAGGTTAAAGTGCTATAGGAGGTCAGTTGCGACTATTAGGATTGGCAAGCCTACAAAGACAAGAACCCTGCGAATTCGTTAGCACAAATTGATGTTAAGGTAAAAGTAATTTATTCTTAGTGTAAATTTATTTCGACAGTGGCCGTCCCAATTGGTTCCAATAGAAGCACTCCTGTACGCTTTTCCTAGTCCCGGGTCCCGACCAATTCAAAAAAGGACAAAATTCTAGGAGAAAACGTCTCTGTATTAGTTAGAAAATGGAAATACAAAGCCTTACGGAAATTGTACTTCTTCCAGGGTAAAGTTACTCCGCAGAGTATCCGACACAATAACCAATAAGTGACGCTAAGTCCAGCAGCCACTGCGTCCGTCCAAAAATGTGGCGGTAGCCATATTATATCAAATTTAAACAAAATGTACAGTTCAGAAGCAAACACAAAAACTTCAATATAAGTACAAAATATAGAAAGAATAACAATATACAATGATAAATCTCAAATTGGAATCAAATAAAGTACCAAAAATGTCAAAAGAAAAAGTCTGTCATATCATAGCAAAAATATGTAAACATGGAGGGATTTTCCAAAAAACAGAACATTCAAAAAGAATTCTACACCGGCCCGCAAAATCCCTCCATGCAAAAAGAGCAAGCGTTAATGACACTTTATTTAGGGTTCCCAGTTATCCCCTAATCCACACCGGAATAACGTGTAGGACTTACAGCAGTACGCCTACCCGCCATCCAACATGGATATGACCTATCGTGTTAACTAGGTACCTATACTTTCCCATCAGGCCCTCGATTCCCCTATCTATCGTGGAATGACCTAACGGTAGTATAAACCTTACCCAATTAACCCACACGAACATGAACAACACGTCGTAAAACTGGTCATATCCTATCCAAAGACTACATTCTCCATCATGGGGACGAGTCGCCAATCCACCACCACTTGCTCCGATCAGCAGATACAATGAAGCCCGTGGTGCTAACTTATCAACAGAAATTTTTGACCCATAAATAATATGCAGGGGTGGGATCTCCAATTTTGACATTTCATCGTCTCCAGAAGACTTTAAGTAGCATGACGTGGGATCAATATTTATCTTTCCATCTCCCGATACAGAGGAGGTTTGATCAGTATTCGTCATCGTCGGTAACTCATTTGTCACATCAGTGACATCCAGTTTATTATCAACGTCATCATGATTCCGTTCTGTCAGACAAGTCGCGTCGATTCGGTGTGCATTAGCATCCGTTTCAGAGACACAAGACGTATGCCCATCAATAGCATCGTGATCACACAACACTGTAGACTGGCTGTTAACATCAAACACTTTCTTCTCATCATCACTCGACTGACAGTCAACCGGAATAGGAACAGTTACAGTTGCACAACCTTGTGCATCTTCAATCAACTTAACCTTCGTGACGAGGTCCAATGACGTCGAAACACTAGGAGGCTCATTCGATGAAGTTGATAAACTAGTCACTATAAGTGGACTGCTGACACCTTCTATCTCCTTATTATCACTGTCACTACTAAGGTTCTGATGGCTACTATTTCCATGGCTAGTCGTAGCATCCGAAAGAGCATGAGGTTCAGGCTTCTTAGTAATAGTAGCATCATGTCTCCTAGGCTTCTTAGCCGTTACTGTACCACCATCACTTATCCTAGAATCTACTCTAGGTCCAGTTATATAATTTACCCTAACTGAAGGGTTCCGAAAATAGGCTTTATTCCGTTCAGACAATCCTGCTTGGGTCTTATTCATATTTGCTGAACTCATTAACCTCTGATTACTCTAATCCAAATTACCGTTTCAGGCTTTTCGAGCAGCTAAGAGGCTTTTATCATCACACACTTCGGATCCATCTTGATGCCTACACTTTTCACCTTTTTCTTTCTTTTCTATACTTAGAAAAGCCATCTTATCTGTTACACCAACCGGCTTCTTGCTAGGATACGCATCAAGAGGTTTTACATCGTTACGGTCACATACTCGTCCTTCATCAGCGTCTGCTTTCGTGATATAATTGACAACTCTTTTATCTTCCGAGCGTGCTTTAGGTAGAAACGAAAAATCCTCATGTCTCGCACGCAGACCACTAGTAGCTTCCGTATTATTTCCTGTTTTAACCTGATAAGCTAATCTTCCAAACCTACTACTAGCTATCTTAGCACGAGACATAATAAATTCCGTCAATTCGTTAAAATTAGGCTCTCTCTCCTCTTCGTCCCACTTGATTACTAGCTCTGCCCACTGGGCTTGCATTCGACGAGGTAGGAGCCTTACTATTCGTTCTAAAGTAACCATGGAATTGAGTTCCGTTGTGCAATTTAGCTGTTCTAAAGTTAAAGCAGCATTCTGCATTTTAATAGCCAAGTTCGTCAATAATTCAGGATCATTAAATTCTACATTCCCAGTTCTAAATAAATCCTCTAAGGTTTCTCGGGCTATTACATGCGACTGTCCAAAGAGCTGTTTTAAAATGGCCTTAGCTCTTTTATATCCTGCTTGTGGGTCCATAATAATACAGCCTTCAATCGCATTTTTTGCTTTTCCCTTACAATAATGAATTAAATACAATAAACGCACTTGATCGTCCTTTATTCGAGGTTCTATAAACGTCTCGAATTGTCGCATGAACCTAAAATAGTCGCGAGACCTTCCATCAAAATATGAGAGTTCAACCTTAGGTAATTCTAAACCCTCTATCGATGACTTACAATAATAAATATCAGACATAACATGTGGGTTACCCATAAAAAAGTTATCATTAACGACTTGCCTAGAGCCCTGTGATCCGTCGAGCTCTTCCACCGTCCTCATGTGTGATTTTTTTCTGTTTGACATCATAAATAAAGTTCAATAGAAAAGGTAACAAATACAAAATATAGTAATTCCACAGTTCAGTTCAAAAATACGATAAATAATCCAACTTCTTCCTCCAAGGAAGTCTAGTGTGATAAACGATTAAAATTCCAAATGTTTCTTTATAATTCTTAATAATCCGAATAGTTCCAAAATATACACGTTCAGATGAATATTTCCAAAGTATAATCCTTGATAGAAGAATTTCCAGACTGTAAATTTATTTCGACAGTGGCCGTCCCAATTGGTTCCAATAGAAGCACTCCTGTACGCTTTTCCTAGTCCCGGGTCCCGACCAATTCAAAAAAGGACAAAATTCTAGGAGAAAACGTCTCTGTATTAGTTAGAAAATGGAAATACAAAGCCTTACGGAAATTGTACTTCTTCCAGGGTAAAGTTACTCCGCAGAGTATCCGACACAATAACCAATAAGTGACGCTAAGTCCAGCAGCCACTGCGTCCGTCCAAAAATGTGGCGGTAGCCATATTATATCAAATTTAAACAAAATGTACAGTTCAGAAGCAAACACAAAAACTTCAATATAAGTACAAAATATAGAAAGAATAACAATATACAATGATAAATCTCAAATTGGAATCAAATAAAGTACCAAAAATGTCAAAAGAAAAAGTCCGTCATATCATAGCAAAAATATGTAAACATGGAGGGATTTTCCAAAAAACAGAACATTCAAAAAGAATTCGACACTTAGGTGAAAATCGGTTATCGTTTGTCACCCGTAAATTAAAGGCCAGGCATTTTATACTTTTCTTAGTATCCTTGAGAAGAATGATCATTTCGGCGCTAAAGTAGAGGAAATATATTATTATGAACGGTTGCAGGTTACAAAAGTGTGAAGATTCTGAAAGAATTAGAATAGATGGTATGGCACTAATATCAACTAGCATAATTTGCCTCCCACAATCTAGGAACAGACGTTTTTCGTGATGAACATCTTAGAAGAATCTCAGATATTCTGAAGTCGTGCTGAAGAAGTAAACGGTTATGCTACAACAATAGTCGATAATTTCGTTTTGAATCACCTGAGATTTTAGCCTGACTATTCGAGCCTCGATCCTGTGGCTTTCAGCGATCTCCAGGATCCGTCAAGTAGATAAAGGCAAGTAATCTACGGTGTTATTTTGCAATTGAAGAAGAACCACCTGTACATGTTATAGAACCCTAAACGGAAAGAATTTTCTAAAATGCCTTTGCCCCAAATTTGTTGACTAATGACCTTTCGCGGTAGTGTAATGACTACTGCGACGAACTACAGACGTGGCTCGCTTTCACTGTGATTTTGAAAGTCAGCCTTTGGATAAAACAAGCAGGTCTTAACATAACTGGCTAGAGTGTGACGTTGGAAGGTGAGGAATTCGGAAGTCCAAATCCTCATAAATATAACCTAGTACCGATACTGTAATAATAAAACTTGTCAATGCACATAAATCGCAATATGTGAATATGTCATGTAGTGAAACCACTTTTATGTAGAGAACGCGATTATTTTAATGTTAACATTCATAATTATAACCAATCATACCAGTGGTTGTTCGATCATACTTTTTACTTGTAGCACCCTTTACGCGCAAGCTTTCTAATTGTGTTGCTGCCATTTTCTGCTCTACCAACTCTTTAATTTCGCCCCACTCTCCCGGCCTGATTTCGGTATTTTTTCGTCAGTAAATATATTATTTACCGTGGATTTATTTCTCTTCTCTGTGACGGGTTCATAATTGCTGTGGTGGTGATCATTGTCAATCTCTAATCGATCGTCTTATTACAAAATAATGCCTAAAAGTCCGAAGATCTCACGAAAACATAGTTTGTAGACATCTTCATCCGTAGTACCTTTCTAATCGAGAGTAGTTAAGCATCGAAAATTCGAAGGTGTACTTGAAGAATGGTTGGATGAGTGGGTGGAATAAGCTTGACATTTGATGAGAAGAGATACATTACATGACGTATCCAACGGTGACCTGCAGAGCATGCGTAACTGAGTACCTTCAGCTAGTGTATCCAGTAAGACTAATAAATTAAGTATCAGTGTCGAAGATCTACAGAACTACTAATTTTGGGGATTTAATTACCACTACAAGCCTTTCGTTACAGTTATGTGGATACTCTCAGTAATACAAGGTATCTAGGTGACTTTCTTGACTAGATCAGGAAGCTGAGTAAACTAGCAATCATTTGACTGTATACATAATCTGGCTTGTTAGTGGACCATGAAAATACAAAGAATCTCGTTATGCATTTAGGGGGACGTTGAAATACTAATTTTCCTATAAAGATATACTTTTGTAGACAAATGTTCCGCGGAAAAACTTTATTGTATCATTAACATTCTGACCACTTATCTAAATTTAAAATAGTTCATTTTTGAATTAGGAAATATGCATTTTCTTTTCAGGTAAACTTGAGAAAACACTTCCCTTAAACTATACACTGAGAGGTAAGTTTCGTGTATGGAAGAATTTTTATAGGTGAGAAACGGAAGAATTGGGACACTGCTATAGGTGAATTACGCTTTTATCTATGATCATACCTACTTGTTTCTGGTTGGGTAAGTGACGGTATGCACATATCCCTGAGATACTAATTGCTTTGATTTATGTTTGACATCATAAAACCTGTATTCATTACTAGTCTTCTAATCCTGCAAAGTCGACTGAATATCAGTAGCTCGGAACTAATGATTGGCCATTGAATCGTATAAGATCACAAACAACCTGCATGTTACTAAGTTATCATTTTACTAACCTGGTTACACTACCCAAAAATGTGAAATGAGTTCAAATAGACAGAATATGAAATAGAAGACTTTGGGCATACCATTTAGGATGAAACGCACGGTAAGGATTAACCAGCCACCCACCCACCCGCACACATACACACACACACTGGCTGACCTCAATCATTCAACAATAAAGCAAGGAAAAGGAAACTCTCAGTAGGTAGATCATACATGTAATTAACGTGATTAGAAAGAGAAAATCAATGAGTAAACTGTAATCGCCACAAAAAACACTTTGTATAATCAATCTATTGAATTACACACGGAAAATAAAATAAAATAAAATAACAAAGTACATAAAATTCATGATTTAGAAATATGATTGAATAGTTATGACTAAAACAAAAATTATTTATATTAAAGAAAAATTAAACTGTTATCAATTTTATCAAGCATTTCAGCTGTTGTTATCACAAGAACATTCCAACTGAATAATCTATAATGAATATACATGACCTGAGCCTATGGTACACAAAAACACAGCACAATCTAACTGACGAGTTAATTCATGAGGATATATTGGGAGAAAAAAGGTAATCGAATAAATTAAAAAGTTCAGTATTATAGTCAATCACACACACTGTGAGGAGTACGTCTGTGTAAATTTTGTTTTCATTAAGCCATCACTGGTTCCAATGATGCACGGCTTACATTGACGTTGCGATTATTAGCATCATCGTCATTATCACCATCAATAATTTGGACACTTCCTGAACGTCGTCTACTTACACCGGATTCATTCAATGATCCTGTACCGAAATGATGATCCCATATAAGTAGACCAAATGTAGCAGTGATAGCAATGCTAAGACAGAAGATGAAAAATACTTCAAGGAATAAATAACCCTGTAATTATGTAAAATAGAAAGAAAGAGAGAAAATAAACACATAAACGTAGGCATTAGGTTTGGTATCAATAACTGTTAAGATATTCACTAAATATCCTAAGAGTACTATTTTTTTGAAAGTATAATCCTATTGGTCGGTTTCTATTGGTTAAAATTATGGTCATTTTAACTGTCAAAGTCAAATACTTCAATGTTGTCTCTGATTGGTTATCCGGATTGTCAATGTCATTTTAAAATGTTCTTTCTTATTGGTTATCCTAAACTGTCAATGTCACAGACTTCGATGCTCTTTCCTATTCGATGACCTAAATGTATATAAATACACACTATCTGTAAGACTTTATGATTGCGTTCCTTCCTGCCTACCACTCTTCTGTACTCGCTTGACCCAATAAACAACTCCATTCAACGGTGTTGCGTTCTGATATATAGGAGATTTGGGTCGTACTGCGATATTTGAATTTGGACGCCGCTAAGACTGACTGAATAGCTAGTTATACGTAGCAGCATTATATAACAATAACATAGACAAATAAGGATAGTAATTTATTGTCAAATACAACGAACTGACAAAACATGAGTTCATGGACATTCTTTCACTGTTTTTTGGCACAATTTTATAACTTTTGTTATCTCTCTCTCTCTATATCCAGGCTACTATTACTGTATCAGAATTTATTGAGATAAGTAGTAAGTGTGTACTTTTTTTCTCAGTGAATTAAACTATGAAAGTTACTAATTATAGACATAATCAGTAAACAACTGGTCATTTGAAATGTATGAATGAACTAAGTTGATTGATCTAGTTTTTTAATTCACTTTATAAGTGATCAAAACAAAAATTCAAATAACCAACGAAAAATGAATTAATTTGTACTTAATGGTACAAGTGAATAGCTATGTGGATTCAATAGAAGCTATGTGGATAACGTGATGATAGCGTTGGAAAGTGAATGGTATTGGGTTCTGTTAGGATATTCATCCAATATCCTAAGGGAATTATTTGTCAATTCATATTAGTTAATTTCTGCTGATCAATTTTATGGTCGTCCTAGATATCAATGTCACGTACTCCAATGTTGTTTCTTATTGGTTGTCCTGACTATCAATTTCACTTCAAATGTTGCTTCTTATTGGTCGTCTTAACTGTCAATGTCACAGACTTCGATGCTGTTTCCTACTCGACCGAAATGTATAAATACGCATTATGTGTAACATTTGATGACCAGGGCCAGGACCCGGTCCCGGATCCCTAGTCCGGGATCCTGATTCTCTTCTGGATTCGGTCCTCGTACTTTCTGGATGCTTGTAGAATACAAGTTCTACGTCATATCAAGTCTTCTTATTTTTTACTCAATATGGGGGGTTGAGATAATCGGATTTGATTAGCATGTCGTATCGCCGGATCCTCACTCTCGTTTTCCGACTAAGGTAAACAACTCGTAATAGTTCAAGCAACACCAAGTTGACGTGTTTACGTGCAGGCGTAACAGGTTCAAGTCCCCGAGTGAATATTTACTCTGAGATGCAGGTACGTTCAACTGCAGATGAATCTAAAATAGGACAAAATATGTATTTTGCATTCTATTGCTAGCCACCAACCACCTCTGTAAATAATGTTTTCTAGATTAGTAATCTTATTACTTTATTTAATTAAATGAGCTTTACTCATCAGTATATATATATATTCATTACGTAACAACACCACGTCATTTCAACTGTTTGGACTTTGGATGGTAAATTTAAGAATACCTTTGTTTAATCATATTGATTTGTGTGTAAAGTAGGGTGACAACAAGAACAAAAAAAAGACAAAACATTCCATTGACTAATAAATCAATGAAAAAAAAAATAAAAACCACTTGAACTTTGAAAGGAAGTTCAAAATTTAATTGAACAACATTGATAATTAAATCAAAATGAAACGATAACACATAAGCAAAAAAATGAACAGAATGATATTTACCTGAATATACATTGATTAAGTTACTTTTATCAATTAGTTAGTTAGTTGTATCTGAACTACCATTAGAAACTTGGAAGTACTGGACTCATTTGGCAGTGCACATCCATAACTCTTGCTGCTCACAGGATCAACCAATCGATAAATCAATAGCAACGTAGAGCTTCGTACATACATACATACATCAGTGCAGGTTGCCATGCTCCATCAGCACAGAGACGATGCAACTGTCAGTTCAAATCCAAGAGTGATAGCAACAATAAAAGTATTAGCAGTAATGGAGAGAAGATTAGGGAGCAAAGAAATTATTCGAAAAGTATAATTCAGTAAGATAAATTTAGAAGGCGAAAGGTAGAGATTATGAGGAATGCAGAAGCTTAGAATTTCATAGAATGCAAAGAGTGGATGCACTTTTGCGTCATTGCAAACGGTTTTCAGCCATGTCATTCAAGGTCTCTAATCATCGGTGATTATCGTCTCGCGGACCCCAACCAGGTAGTCGACACCTACTGACATGGCTTAGTCCACTTGTCAATGACTTCATGGATTTCTGCCATATATTGGTTTGGCCATCCCTAGCTTTCGTCCAACCTATTCCATAGCTCGACGAGGCAGTCGGTGGTTATCATCTATTGATCTGCCATTCTTACCTAGCACCCGTTTCCTAATAACAGCATTGCTCACTTGGTTGTCCCAGTATATACGAGTAATGCTTCGCAGATATCTATAATCGAATACCAGCAACCTACGAATGTCTTCTACTTTCACTGGCCATGTTTCACAGCCATAAAGTAAGACAGAGCGAACTACTGCACAGTACACTCGTCCTTTAGTCAACAAACGGATATCTTGCCTGCACCATAAGTGACGCAAGTTAGCAAAAGCCAACCAAGCCTTCTATATCCATGCTAAGATTTCATCAATCATCAGGCCATCAACACTGATGAGACCCCCCCCAGATAAGTGAAGCAATATCGACCAATTTTATTCTAGATAAGGAATATAAACACAATTGATTGGCTAAAAAAATATAAATAAACCAACAAGAAAAGATCACAACTCACTTTTGTATCAACTAAATAACCAGCAAATATAGAAATTAATCCAAGACCTAAATTTTGTATTGATTGAATTAAACCATACGCTGTACCTCTTTGATGCAACGGCAAAACATAAGCAACCATTGGCCATAAACTACTAGCCAATATAGAATAAGATAAACCCATGATAATCATAATAACTAATGGAGGAATTTGACCATTTGTAAAAGCAAAACATAAATGACAACCTAATGTCACAGAGATTCCAGTAAATAACCAATATAAATTATAACCAACGAAATCGATAGCTGCACCGAATACAGGACTTGCTACAGCCGATATAATATAGATTATACTATTGACAACACCAGCATCTTGAATAGATAGACCAAATTTTCCTAAATAATTGTGTAGTTTTTTTTTAACAGAAAAGAAACGGATGGATTTAGAGAGTAAAAGTGAGAGTGATACGAAGTTATTATTAAAGAAAGACACTCACTTTCATTGAAATCATAAATCGATCAGTGTGAAAGCATCATCAACGGGAACCTGAAAGCATTAGACAGCCGTCTCGTCCTAGTAAGGGACTCATCACTCATGTACTGAGATTTCGTCAGACATCAGGCTATCAGCACTGACCAGACACCCAAGGTAAGTGAAGCGGTCGACATGCTCAGCTACTTCACTCGCTATAGTGAAGCATTTGGAAAGGGAGAATAGCATCCTGAACATGCTTGAATTGTTGCTCAAGGTGGTCAGAAGACTCTACATTATGTGAGCGTCTTCACCGAATAGAACTATGTCCACAAGTGAATCGCCCGGTAAAAAATCAGACGAGGAAAGTGTTATTTCTGAAAGCATATCTATGATAAAGTTGAATTAGAATGATGATGACAGTTCGCCATAAGCTCTGACTCAGTCAGTAGTGTTCGAGTAGAGAGCTTGTATAAGGTTGGCGTACCTCTTTGGTATTCCTTTCAGTAACAGACACTGCCAGAGAAATTCTAGAGAATGATCGAAGAAGTGATTGGTGCATGTGCTACGTGTCCTTTACCACTAGCTAGCTACCTGGATGGGTGATGTTGTTTGGTGTAGGGGTAAGTTGAAAGAAAACGGATAGCAAAACCGAAACATGACATCAGTTCATGAAGACAATGACTACTGGAGTGAGCCATGCTAAATGAGTGTAGACTACCGGATTACGGTCCACTTGATAATTACAACCGATAGTTAGAGACTTTGAATAGTATGCTTCAAAATTGTTTTTGATGGCGCAGCTGTAACAGTTCAAATGTCAAGTTTCTCAATTCTTCTTCATAACTTTTTTTACGTTACATATATTTTTTTTGTATTTCATCGATTTATAATACTTTTTTTTATTGAATTGCATCTTCGATTCCGTAACTAATACTTATACTACGTCTACGACTCTGGGATTTCATTTCTTTGTGCTTACAGAATATGGAAACCTGAACTAGTGTACACACACGTACCAAGTTCTATGCTGCAACGAATAGACTGACTGACATATAAAGTGAGCAATCATATGAGGCTTTCAGAGCAAAGTTGATGAACCAAGTTAGTATTTACAGAAATCTATGAACACGAGACATCTTTGTTGTGATAAGGGATGGACAATTATTTAACTAGATTTATTCTATCAATTCAGTAATGACAATGAAGAGATCGGACATCTTATTAACTCGCAGCCAGTTTGAAAGTGTTTGGATAGTCATCGAATATCCTAAGAGAATTATTTGTAAGTCTAATTCTATTGGCTAATTCCTATTGGTTAATTTCTATCGGTCAATATTATTCTCGTTCAATCTATCGATGTCACGTACTCCAATGCTGTTTCTTATTGGTCGTCCTGGATTTCAATGTCACTTCAAATGTATTTTCCTATTGGTTGCCTTAACTCTCAATGTCATAGTCTTCGATGCTGTTTCCTATTCGACCTAAATGTATAAATACGCATTATCTGTTACGTTTTATGACCCGGACTCTTAGTCCGGGATCCTGATTCTCTTCTGGACTCGGACCTCGTACTTTCTGAATGCTTGTACAATACAGGTTCTACTTCGTATCAAGTCTTCTTCTTTTATTCAATGGGGGTTAGGACACTCAGATTAGAGTAGCATGTCGTGTCACTGGATCCTCACTCTCGTTTTCCGACCTACGGTAAACTCATAATAATTCAAGCATATCAAAATGACGTGTTTACGTGCATTCATAACAGAAAGAGTGATATCATAAGAAGCGGGGTCTACCAAACGAAAATCTCAAAAACTACAAACAAGTTGGTGAGATTTTTGTTTACTTTAACGAGAAAAAAAAAGAAATCGCGATTTCAATTTCAAAACAAAAACAACAATAACTTACTTTGAAAAAATACTAATCCTAAACTAACAAATGGAAATACTGTTACGTAATATGCTACACAAATAACACAAATAAGCCAAATAGCGCCCGGGAAATGAATAATATCCATGAAGGATATTTTTTTACTTTGATCTTCTGTTTTCTCTGTAAGTAAATGTTGTTGATCTTGTTCATGATTAGTTAAATCGGATTCTGTTAGGTGAGTATGTCGAGAATGAGATTTTTTAGTAGTTGATAGAATACGTTTAGCTCTGAAAAGTTTTTAAAAACAAAAATAATCCATCACATAATGATGATGATGATGTTGGTTATGAGTAAAATTGATAAACTTAGTGGGACAGAGATTGGATTAAAGCATGATTGTGTTGTTGAACGCTGATTGGCTCTTTCCTATCCAATCAGCACTAGCCAACACTGAGGGAACATTCTAGAATCGTCTCGTGTAAGAAAACTATAAATATACTAACGTTTTGAGTTTCTGGTCTTCCATCTAACCTTGTTAATGGAATATGATCTCTATTTCCTGTTCAACAACCATGTTCTGATTTTCGGGAGAAAACGTCTCGAGTGAAATTGGTGTCCGAGAATAATAAGCATTAAGGAATAGCTGGGTTGTAATATAAAGAGAGAATTGTAACATTAGTGGTGTAGAATTGTCTTTAAGTCAATGAAGAAAGTTTTGCATGTTAAAAAATCTCAACCGATCATATGCAACATACGTATGTGCATTGGTTGAAGTCATCATAAACACGTTAGCATGAGATAAAACTCAGATTAGCAGAAGTAGTGTAAGCAGTAGAAACAATCAGGTATTAAAACTTACACCTACACCAAACGACATCACCTGTCGAGGTAAGCGATTGTTGAGGACCATTTAAGTTGATGAAGATTTAGAAAACACTCTTTACGCAGTAACCAATGCCTAACCTTAGTATTGTTCATGCTAAGGTAGTAGTAACTTGTTTTTAGTGAAACAGTTGTACTTCAGCTATGAAGAAGGAAATGCCTCACACACAAGGAGTTACACTGATGCTGTCTAAAGAAGCACAAAAAGTACTTATAGCAAGGAAATCTTTTCGTGGACCCAGAATCATCAAGGCCTCCTTCAAAATAAAGAAATAGGGTATTACAATGAACATTGTCCAGTGCTATACGGGCACTAATGGTAGCAACGAAGACGATATATATACAGATTCTATGAGAGGCTGCAGTCAGTCATCGAGAAATGTCCAGCAAACGATTTCATGGTTCCGCTGATAGACCTAAACATGAAGATTGGAATGAACGACATAGAATAGGAGAAAAGGACGAAAACGGTGAGATATTCTCAAATCTACGTGCCTTCAACAAGTTGGTTATAGGGTGGATTATATTTCCGCATAAAACGGATACACAAAGTTACATAGGTTTCACCGGATCACATCACGGAGAACCAAGTCGATCACATCAGCACAAATAGAAAATTCAGAAAGACCATGGGGGATGTAAGAATAAAGTGAGGAACTGACATAGCTTCAGATCACCACCTGATAATGAACAAGATGAAACTAAAACTAAAGTAGCGCTAGACAATTGGGTGGATAGTATTACAAAAATTTAATACGGCCTTTCTTCGGGATACTTGCAAACTCAATGAATTCGAAATAGCTCTAAGTAATAAGTTCCAGGCCTTTCACGATTTGGTAAATGACGAAGAAACTACCATGGAGAACAACTGTAAAACAATTATATAGGTAATAACTTAAGTATATCATAAGGTTTCGGGCCACAAAAACCACTATCACACGGAATGGGTCTCTGTTGATACTCTGTATAAGATTCAAGAAAGGAAGAACAAGAAGGTAGCAATCAATATTAGTCGAATAAGGGCAGAGAGCCAAGGCACAAGCTAAATACAGAGAATCAAACAAACAAGTGAAGAGAAGCATCAGATCTGATGAGCGAAAATATGTGGGATATCTAGCAACGATAGCAGAAAAAGCTGCGACAGGAGGAAATATGAGACAACTGTATGCTACAACGAAGAAGCTAGCCGGAAAATGTAGTTAACTAGGACGACCGGTGAAGAAAAGAGAACACAAACCAATCACCGATATTCAAGAACAGCGAAACAGGGGGGTAGAGCAATTTGAAGAACTCAGACTAGGAAAGGAAACATAATCAAGATACTAAGCAAAGGAGATATCAGCAAGTGTGAGAGCTACAAAAGCATCACTCTAATCTCAATACCAGGAACAGTCTTCAACAGAGTGTTGTTGAACCGAATGAAATATCCCCTTAAATGCCCAATTTCGAGATCAGCAGGCTGGAATCTGTAACAACCGATCATGTGTCGACCGAATCGCGATACTACAAATCATTTCGGAACAATAAATTGAATAGAACTCACCACTATACATTAACTTTCTTAAATACGATAAAGTTTGTTACTTTGAAGAAAACCTAACTAGTAAGAAAGTTTATTGCTGGTTTGCAAAACCCAGTTTGTTGCAAATCTTTGAATAGCAAGATTGGATTAATCAGGTGAATAAAATTAGATAATTACATGATTATGTGAATTTTCTCAAAGTGAATTATTATTCTTTATACCAATCAATGGTTAATTAGATATAAGGTAGGAGATATGTATGTCTGAGGATTTACACTTCTAATTTAAGTGTCAGTGTTATCATTATCACCATCGGTTGTAAGACTTTCTTTACAGAATTATGGGGACTTTCATTCTACATAGAAATCACGAATCAATCATTGTCAGAACGCTATTAGAAACAAGGAAGCCCTTAACGGCCAGTGATTCCTAGTACGGAACTCTTCGGCACTGCGCATCTACGACCTCAGAAAGCAGAAATCTAACTCAGGACCTTTGTTCTCACGTACAAAAGCTTAGCCTCTAGACCACCGAGCCGGCATCCATCGGTGTTTATGTGCTCACTAGTGACTAGTTTTGTGAGGAAATTCTCGGAGTTTTAGTGAGAAGTCGTGACCAGTGGAGTTCAACCGTGTCGGGTGTGAGGCAGTTACCGGATGAAGACAGTGAGTGACGTTAGGCAATATCAAGCAGTGATAAAAGTTAGACATTAACACCAATGGATGCCGGCTCAGTGGTTTGGAGGTGAAGCGTTTGCGCGTGAGACCGAAGGCCATGGGTTCGATTCTCACGGGCGGAGTACATGGATGCGCACTGCCGATAAGTCCCATACTTAGACGAAACGCCTTTCCAGTGCTTCCAGGTTTCTAATAGTGGTCTAACAATCGTTCGTTCATGATTGTACTGATTTATGTACTCATCTTTGAATTCAACTGTTTATATGAGGTTAGTCGGTCAGTCAGTTAACAACAACATAGAACTTCGTATGTACGTACATCAGTTCAAGTTGTCATACCACATTAACACACAGATGCAATCGTCACTTCAATTCCCATAGTAGTGGAGGTAGCAGAAGTATTAGAGTTTGAGGATATTATTTTAGAAGTAGAATCTAGTGAAATAAACTTAAAAAGAAAAAGTTAAAAATGATGAGGAGTTCAGAAGGTTAGGATTTGCGAGAACACAAAGAATGAATGCACCTGCGCCATTACAAAGTGTCTTCAGGTTCTGTTAGGATATCCATCTAATATCCTAAGACAAATATTGGTCAATTATTATTGGTTAATTCCTAATGGTCAATTTTATGATCGTCTTAGATATCAATGTCACGTGCTCTAATGTTGTTTCTTATTGGTCATCCTGAATTTCAGTATCACTTTAAAAGTTTTTTCCTATTGGTCGCCTTAACTGTCAATGTCACAGACTTCGATGCTGTTTCCTATTCAACCTAAATGTATAAATACGTATTATCTGTAACATTCTATGACCAGGACACGGTCGCGGATCCCTAGTCTGGGACCCTGACTCTCTTCTGAACTCGGACCTCGTACTTTCTGAATACTTGTAGAATACATGTTTTACTTAACATCAAGTCTTCTTATTTTTACTTACTTAATCTGGGGGTTGAGACACTCGGATTAGAGTAGCATGTCGTGTCACCGGATCCTCGATCCTCGCTCTCCTTTCCGACTAAGGTAAACTCGCAATAGTTCAAGTATATCAAGTTGACGTGTTTACGTTCAGGAGTAACAGATTCCAAACTGAAATAAATGACCTATTGTGACTTACTAGTGCATTGTTCCCAACCTTTCATGGTGAAACACTCTCACAAACACTAAATAAAACAAGACTGTCATCATGAATTTCTAAAAACAGAAAAAAAGGCAAACTAACATTCCAATTACCAAAAAAAAAACAACAGAGAAACACAAAGAGAGGAGGAATAAACTAACCAACATACCTTTTTGTAAAAAACAACATAATCACAGCACAACACGTTGAGAATAAACATGTCACAGAAGCAATCAGTAGCGATGCACCTAATTGTTGATTTGTATGTAAATTAAAATGTTGACCAATAGCTTGATTCAATGGTTGCATCGTTACCATATTCACAGTGGATCCAATACGTGACATACTTAATTGCAGGCCGAATACTAAATTTAATTCATTCGATGGAAACCATTCTGTAGCATAAGTATTCTGTGCTACAGCCAATGATTCACCACCAATACCAAATAATAATCGTGAAAAATACATTGCAGGGATATTTTTAAAATAAGCTCCTATACCGAATAGAATTTGTCCAATTAATACAAATATGGAGAAAATAATACTACCCCATGGAATACCAAATACACGATCAATAAGAAAACCACCAACAAAACTGAGTACAACATTTGGCCATGAATAAAATGCATATAAATTCATAAATTCAACTTTTGTCATATCCAATGAATTGATAAAGATATCTTGTAGTGCAGCAGGATTATCATAACAAAAATAACTTCCAAAACAGAGGAAACATATGAAAAATAATACAATATAACGATGTGGACGTCTTCTTGGATCACATGCCCAACTAGCTCCACAACCTTGTAGAATAAATCAATAAGATGAACACATGATTTACCTGTAAGATGTACTTCTTCACTATCGATCATTTCTTGATCTTGCATTGTGATAGAATGTCAACGGCCTCGGAGATGGATGGAATAAAAGCAACTGATGAAAGTGAGTGATTATGAATGCAGGAAATCAATCTAAATAAAAATATGTACCAAATTATCAAATCATTATTAAGTCATATAGCTTATAAATAACAGAAAATAACCTCGACCAACTCACAGCCCCGACCAAATCTGCTACCTTGACGTGGTGGTCGGTCTTGCCTATCGTGATGATCCAACCGAGCTTTACTGGTTGGAACATATGTTCATGAAGGTTCTATCATGCCAGCCAGGCAGGTCGATTGGAGAACGATGAGACTAAAAGCAGCTACTCAAGGTCTGAGGGCGAAATCGTACTGTTGACTGTGATGGAGGGGTGTGACAGCAGTAAGGTGTTTCCTTCGGACAACCAGCATCTGCAGCGATGCTGCCTTCTCATCACAAGGAAGGAAGGGTTAGAAAAGGTCGACCCTAAAAATGTCACACCTCAACCTACCTTACGGATTTCCGTCTCCTTGGGTATGGTTGCTCACTAAGGGCCTTTAAGAGCGGAGCTAATACTCAAAAAACCTTTCATAAAAAGGCTGTGCGTGACCGGCCCCAAGCAGTTGTCCCTTGGGCTCTGCGGTCACGCTCACAGGTCTCTAAGACCAACACTAATCCATCTTCCTTTTCAGGTCCCTCACAAAACAATCTTCCACGGTGTGGGCAGCCGGGAAGTGACAACCACCCTCATACCCGTAACACCACGCGAGACCGAATTGGTCGAAATCAAATCCTTCCTACACCCACACATACCTCTCTTCCCTCATATCAGAACTAGCATCTATCTTATACACTAACTCTATCTATCTAAAGTCACATACCACACACAGCCTAAGTGTTAGCGATTGGCATTAGGACTACATTAGAAAGTTTATATAATTGTCTACCCTGCCAAACGTCATAACCACATATTAGTGAAGGAGTTTACTTAGGATTGACAGCATATTTAGTACTTGTAGCTATTAATCAAACTTTGTTCATCACAAGCAGATGGTCTCTATACTGTAATATTAAAACTACAATCTGGAGCCTCCTCTGGGTCTACTACCGGGTCCTAAGTCCGGACAAAGGAGGGGTGAGCAAGGAGTTGGCGACCCTATCCCGTAGAAAACTAACTCGCTTAAAATAACTGCAAGTATTAAAACTTTTAGTAATGTTCGTTTTGTTCAACCAACCATAACTGTTAAACTGAGTTCCTGTTACCACATTACTAATGCGATATAGTGAGCACAGTAATCTGGAATTGGTCAAATTGTTAGTAAATGAATCTACATAGTAATCAGGAAATTAATGGACAGAGAAATGTAATCTTTCCACTAAATACATGTTTAAGTATTGGGCTAATAATAATACGATGTGGTTTTTAAAATTGAAGTAAGTGGGTCAAATTATAAATCTTAAACAACTAATTATTGAAATCTTAGTGCTTGGTATAAGCAATGCATGATAAGAGCATACATTTCAAAATGAAGGAAAGTAGATTAAGAACACTTATCACTCAATAAACAATCACATAAGATATATAAACATTGCACATATATATTACTTACAAACAAATGCTTTTTATATAAAGCACAAAAAAATAAATACACCATAATTGTTATTACCTTTAATCAAGTATACTTTAATGGAACAAGTAGTATGTTCGTGGTTAGAATGCATGGAATCAATCAGAATGCAGTTACAGATGATAACTATAGCTTACTGACTTTGTTGTGATATTGTGTCATAAGTGATATTGTTACGGAGTCAAAATCACTATGTATGATGATGCTAAACCATCCTGTTTTCTTTCTATTCCAGGGCAATCAAACACAAACGCTTTGGAAGTAGAAGAACAAGCCCTGAATGATCTGAGCTTATAGGAGGACTTATAAGACCTTGGTACACTACCCATTCTATTTCTGTAGAAACCCAGCGTATTGAATTTTCGAAAATAAAGATTGCCTTGGCGACCACTTCATGTTCTCTCTCTTGATGTGAAGTGTTGAGCTAACTCTGTGTGTGTTGCAATTTTAGATCTGATCCGCTGTTCGGTGACTGCTGTAAACGCGTGAGAATTTTTCAGATTCCTGGAACGAATTACTTCTGTTCGATATGGACACTAATGTGAATGTAAGTAAATGTTTGAACCATCAACGTCGATATTGCCAGATGAATTCTCTGGTCGAATAAGCTTTCCCTATCCACAAACAAACAGTTTGGATTTGTATTGTAACGGTTAGTTACGATATTTCCCGGCTAAATCTTATTGCTTAGTATTCTTGACACAAGACGCTGGACAAGTAACACAAATCAGAACACGGTTGAACAGGAAGGATTGTATTCCAAAATAGCAAGGAAAAGAAGCTGGAGGTGATGGCGAAAGCCAAGGCAAAAAAGGCTTGAAAGCGAAGAAGGCTAGAAGGCAAAGATAAATACAATGCTAGTCTATTTATAGCCTTTAGATGAGAAAACTTCTGGAAGGAAATTCACGTGATCGACTGGACTGGATTTGACCAATCAGCATGCAGCTAATAATACGAGAATTTTCTATCCTGTTCTCCAAGCTTCGATCAGGCGCTGATTGGGTAGGAAATCAGCCAATCAACGCGTAGTGACGTAATCATGCTTTAAATCCATCTATGTCCCACTAACAATTTGGTACAGAGTAGTTTCTTTTTTTTGATTGAATAGTAATGAGAACAGAGAAGGTTATACAACAGATAGACTAAATGAAGTAGACTTTGCACTAAGGTATACATTTCAAGGTAACGATGAAATAATTGAGACATCATTAGGTTATAGTTGCGAATCTCAAAACCGGGTAGCATAAGTGCATTAAAGAGGAGTACAGAATTAACTTGTATCATGAGTTATGGAGATTTTTACAATTGATACGATATTTAAAACAATTAGTCCATTCAACAGGTCCCGATGGTTTAGTGAGGTGCAATCTGATCACGCATTTACATGCCTCAATGTACATAATGGCCACCCCGAAGCTGCTTGGAATGATATCCTAAAGACAGTGGAAACAATAGTGAAATCTGCTAGTAAGTTAAACTAACATATTAGGGAAAATCAGTGGATTTCAGTAGGATTTACTGAACTGATAGATGCTCGAAAACTTATCTCATCTGGCTGTGAACATGATGAATTAAGGCGGCTTCAAAACAGGCTGATAAAAGGCCTACGCAATGATCGCAAAAAAGGCGGTGGGTAATGAAAGCAAAAAACGAGAAAGGTAGCGATGATAGGTAACAGTAGACAACTATTCAGACTTATCAAGGGAACTGGTATTAGGATTCCGACTGTTAGCGAAACTCTCAGAAAAAGACGGGATTATTATCCACTCTCAATCCAGGAGATTGGATTGATGAGCAGAACACCACAGGGAGCAGTTCAACTATCCTCCAACTACACGTCGTTTCCAGTCAACCTGAATGGCAACTCCTAATAGGGTTGGAAAGATTATAGGCAATCTAAGGCGAGAGAGAGCAGGAGGTCCTGACTAACTAACTCTGGAGATTTTTAATGGTGGTGGTCCAGTTTTTGCAGTTAGATTGACTGAGATCTTGGAGTCGGACGAAATCTCGTCTAACTGGTCTCAATCACTAATTGTTCCAGTCTATAATAAAGGACAAAAGTACTCTTGTTACAATCACAGAAGAACCAGTTGAACTAATCTAGCGTTTATAATATTAGCTTGAATAATAATAGCTTGTGAAGAATAGACTCAAGAAAATCAGGTTAGTTTTAAACCTGGAGATGGATGCATACACCACATATTCACATTGTCAAGTTGTAGAACAGAAACACGTTTAGACATCCTACAATAGTTGTATTGCCTGACTTTAATACAGCATTTGACTCTATTGATCGTAAGGTTCTGTCACTGAAAGAAGTATTAAGGAAGTACATTAACCAGGTACAGGCTATCTACTCGTACACAAGTGGTGGAATGTGGACATATTGTGACCTGTCATCTGATTCGACTACTTCAAGTGGTGTTCGTCAGGGTTGCCTACATTCTATTCTTATTTAACTTTGTCATTGATAGGATTTCATGGAAGACACTTTTATCGTTGTACTTTTCAGGAGTTGATTTTCTATTAGGAGATTCACTTATCGACTTAGAATATAGTTTCGTTTGATGAAGACTCTGACGAACTCTAGTCTTCTGACAACCCTAAGGAACAATGAAAGCATATTCGGGATACGATTCTCCCATCGAAATGAATTTTTTTTTCAGGATTTGGTTGCATCAGCACCTGAGCTAATGACAGGGAGTGAAGTAGTTGAGCGTGTTGACTGCTTTATTCATTTTTGGAAGTCCTGACGGACTGGTGTCTGCGAAGTCTCAGTGCAGATACAGAAGGCTCGAATGGCTTTTGCCAACTTGCGTCGGAGAAATATTCGACTGCCAACAAAAGGCAGTTCGCTCCGTTCTGTGAAACGTGGCCAGTCAGAGTAGAACAAATTCATAGGTTACTGGTTTTCGATCATAGGTGTCTTTGAAACATTGCTCGTACATCCTGAGACCATCAAGTAAGCAATGCTAGTGTTAGGAAACGAGTACTACATCGACCAGTGTTGTCTGATGAATGACGGCCTTCTCTCGAATTCTAATCTTATGAATTCTTGACTACTGTTTTTCTCTTTCTAAAATTACTTAACTTAGTTGTACTTCTCGAATCATATCTTCGATGGTCAATCTTTCCTATTACTTCTTATACTGCTAGCACCCCTAACCTATGGGATTTGAATTAGTAATTCCATCTCTTCGTATTAATGTGGAATGGCGACTAGAACAGGTGTACGTACATACCAAGTTTTACTTTGTAGCTGATTACTGTTCACACATTTATTTTTCAAACTTTTGATGGCTCTCTAATCGCATGAATGCGTTGGCTGAAGGTACAGACCCTATAATAGGTTCTTAGAGTTGATTAATCGGTGGGAAAATCTGTGTGAAACAAGCA